ACCAGTCTCTTACTGACGCATTCTTTATTCCAACAATGTCAGAATTGCAGTCATCTGCCCGCGTCATCATCAAGACCTTCATCACTGTATTTTATTGATTGAGTGATGGCTCCATTCAGCAAACTGCCAATACTGGTTGTGCTCACAGGCTAAAATTGCACGCTATTTTCTCATTAGTGTAACACTGAACTGCTAAAGTAGTGTGTGTGTGTGTGTGTGTGTGTGTGTGTGTGTGTGTGTGTGTGTGTGTGTGTGTGTGCGTGCGTGCGTGCGTGTGCGTGCTGTGACTAACTCCAGCAAGCCATAAGGGACAACATCTGAAATCATACTTCACTGTGGAGGAGGGTGATGATGCTGTGGGGGCATATACGCCACTTTTCTACTCATGTTTGCTTTAAATAAGCAAGAGAGGTCACACCGCCTACAATAAAATAGCAGATCTTATGATAAAGCTCGAGTTTGAGACATGTACGGGCAGGAGGAAGAACCAAGATACCTGTCAGACAGAAAAGATTAAACTTTTTGCACTGAAGTTTTGGACTGGCCAACGTTCTGCACCACCTCACGTGTGTGTTGAGTTCTGAAGCCTCAGCCACCACAAGCAAGTGCATCCAAGCCACCGGCTAGGCCCAGCACGCTTGTAAAATTCACTGCTCTGGTGACCCATTTTTAGTTTGGAAGGCTATCACATCAGCACTTGAGGATGTGCGTGTGATTCACCGATGCTAACGTTTACATCATGTTCCCAAAAGCACCGCATCACTGTTCCAGGTTACCATCGACAAAACAGGATGGTCATTAAACAATAAACGGAGACGGGAGAAGCAAACGTGCCAAACAGTGAATGCCATGGATGCCCAGCAAGATTTGTTTTGTTTTGTTGTTCTCTCACCCCCCCCTCCCCTGCCCCATCCATCAACATGCTGCGGATGTGAAAAGAAAACAAAACACACATTAACTTTGATCACAAGTAACACTGGACTTATACTGCTTTAGATGTGAGTCTGGTTACTTGATGTAACTTTTGGGACATCTTTTTTCAGCTCTTCCCATGTACGTTTACCGACAATCACTTTGTAATAAAATAACACTCAGAATCAATGCTCTGATGAATTTAGTGGCTGTGAGGGGTGTAAAGGTCTCGCTTGGTATCACCCACAACGAAAATAAAACCCACAAAAAGTCAAAGACGAAACAAATCACACACACAAAACCGAATTCCAAATCTGCACAACCTCAGAAGCATTGAACTTTAAAGTTTCCACTGTATTTGCAAAAAAGATGTAGGTCACATGTTCACGATGCTTCGTCTGAGGATGGAAAAAGTAGTTTTCTTTGGTTTGCCAAACATCTGCGGCTTTGCTCGAACAGCTGACAATGTTAATGAAGTCTGTTGGCTTTTCCCGCGGCTCGCTACAATTCTGGCACTGAGCTTCCCCCCTCACAGCCCTGATTAGCATGAAAGTAGACGCTACGCTCACAAGGGTTGGCAGAAAGCAAAACATGCTTGTCGGCGAATTCAGGAAGGGTATCCTGGAAAAGATTTTGCAACACCCATCTCCTGTGTACCACGATGCATCAGCAAAGAGGGCTTTGTAAGATGTCCAGGTTGAGGTGCTGCAACTCGTAACAAAACATCACATAATTATGGATACTTTTACAGTTTTAATTATGGACAGCCAACCTCAAAAGATTTACTTGGACCACTGCGTTTACTTTATTCCGTACAAGATAGCGATGTCACCATCAGAAGCATTTTTTGTTTGGGTCCTGAAGTCTTCATCCTTACGAAAGAATCCAATTATGGCTGTTTTCACAGACGATGACCAAGACAAACACTGACATACGCCAAGTTTTCATCAAGTGGTACAGTATAATCAAGCTCATCGTGGCATGGTTTTGGAATGGTAAACACCAATTTGGCTTGTGTTTCCCCACAGGCTGTGTAGGCGTGATGGAGATAGGTGCGTCAGCTACACAAATGTCGTGACAATATAGCAGCGTGACACAGTGAAAACCTGGCAATAAATTCAACAGGGACGACCAACACAGCAGAAAAAACAAAGGACAACATTGGAAGGCATCCAACAATGGCTATTTTATCAGAATCTGGCTATCTATTACAGGAAGACAAGCAATGTTTCAGAAACAGCACATTTCGAATTACACTTCTGAATATATGTGGGTTCCAAAGTCCAAATCCTAACAGAAAAGCTACTGCCGTCAAATGCTAGTGATTCCAATTTAGCCCATTCTTTGCTTTTTTTTTTCAGTTTTCTACGATACCACAGTTGCTGTATTTTGGGGAAAAACAAAAAGACACAGATAATGTAAATGTTGAGAACTGCTATATTTGAAAATCCACAATCTGGACTCACTAGGTATGGATTGTCACTTTAGATAAATCCAGGATATGTAAGCAGTGAAGAGATTGAGCGTCTAAAAAAAATGAATTTACTTTTCTGTCAAATGGTCGACGTCTTATGTTTTCCATAAAATTATTCATTCAGTGATTAATCCTGTCCAGGTTCAATTTGTGAATTTAATGCAGTTGAATAGAAGAGTTGCCCAGTCAGGATCAAATAAGGACGCACCATAGACGAGCAATGCCACACAGTCTGTTCAACGACAGCATTTGCGTTCGGCAATTTAGAATTACGGATGGGCACAAAACTCAAATTATCTTTTCATTAAAAAACCCGTGATAAGGTGTAACTCGCATATTACACTATTTGGTTATCAACAAGAATGGCGCGATTGATTCAAATGTCCACACCCTTTTAAAATATGCAGCCCATCATCCAAATTCCAAATCAACTTGAACAAGGCATTGCTGCCACTCTGAACTCCTTAACAAGCATGAAACATGCATGCACACATGCTTATCAACCTAATGGGAAAGTAAAGTGGCTAATGTGGTTGACTGGAGCGATGCAAACATACAGAGGCTGATATGACCAGACAAGAAACAGGTGGAATACACACGGGATGTTCTCACACACACAAATGCACTTGCTGTGCCTACAACTACCCTTGCAGAGTGCCCCCCCCCCACACACACACACACACACACGCATGCGGATTCTTGAAGGATGTTTACTATCCATTTACAACATGTGCTAGTCTAAGCACAAGAGGAGGTGGGGGGTGGGGGGATATAAAAAAAAGACTACACCCCTGTTCAAAGGCCAGCTTTGTGTGTGTGTGTGTGTGTGCGCGCGCGCAAAAAGAGAGGGGCAGTATTCAAACTGCCACATGACTGATCAAAGAGGAAGGTGTCATCAGGTGGGATGACATACAAGTAACACATTCTGGGACACAGTACAGCATAGGTTTGCATCATTTTACGGATTAAGGTGACCATCCAAGTCACCCAGTTGTAGTCAGCAGGTTACTGGTTCAGAAACAAAACCTGTAATTGCCCCTAATGAGGAGATTAGCATAATGCATGACAACCTCCATCTGTTCGTGTGCGTGAGGATGGATGAAAAAGAGTGAAGGTGTAGCTGGCATGATTACGGTCACAATCTTTAGTCTTTGTTGGGAGTTTTTTTGGTTTAACTTGACGGTTGGGGCCTATCCCATCTGATTTTAGGCAAAAGGTGGACTATAGCCAGGACTGGTCACCGGTCAATCACAGGTCCTATATCAGGTTCCGACATTAAGAATGGCCCTGGGCCACCATGTAACGAAGTTTAGGCCACCCAAATTGCACTGATGCTGGCTCAACCGGGCCACATGTACAACTTTAATAATTAAATGTGACAAAACACGTTCTTGATTTTTTTTTTATGCCATTTATTCAATATCTCGAGTTGTATCCATTTTAATTTATCATCTTTTTTTACCACCACTGTGCACATTTAGTGATCCTAATTCACTGCTAAAGTGCGCACAACTTACTCAAGCATATTTTGGCCACCGAGTCTCCACGCTCACTATTTTATCCACAGGTAGGTCTATATATATATATATATATATATATATAAAATTATATATTTTTTAAATGCTGTTTAAAATCACTATATATATGTGCAGTACATAGGGGAGCAGATCGTGTCCATTATTATTATTAATATTATTATTTTATTTTTTTAATACCAGCTGCCTAAACATGCCAACTGGCGCTCCGTACTTACATCTATTTTAGCCACTGAGACGACACGCAGACTTCACTGTTAGGCCGACATACAGTATCAGTCACAAGTTTGGAAAGACACATTAAGAGATCAACAAAATCAAGCTATTAACTCTTGATTATGCACAGCTGTGAACTAAAAGTCATTCCAGCTCATACGCATCAACCACATCAGGAAGCTGACTGAGAAAATACCAAGATATGCAAAGCGCTCATCTACTTTTAAGAATTCAAATCATAAAACATTCTGATTAACAATTTTTGTTTACCAAATCATTCCATCAACATTTCTTCATATTCATAATGACGATGACTACAAGTATTAATAAAAATGTGGGAAATTGCTGACTCAGAGAGTGTTTCCAAACTTTTGACTAGTACTGTATATAATAATAAATTGTATTAATAATAACGTTCATCTTTCAGACACGTTCGCTCCCACTTGAATGCTATGGATCACTTCCTGTTCTCCGTTTAGGTGCTGACGTTCTTCATTCCACATGCGAAGCCCCCCACCGGCCTGCCCTGTGAACCAGGCCAGCAGCCTCCCACCAAGACACCCGCCCGGGAAGACACGCCGATCAGTACTGACCGTGACTCTCTCCCGCTGCCACGGGACAACAGCCGGCGGGAGGTTGGTGCAAGTTCACTGGCTAGTCCCGCAACACTGACAATCCTTTCAATTATAACTTCAAGCCAATCTATCGATACGAACGGGGCCTTCGATTCGTTTTACACATCACCGGCGCGGCCATAACCGAGAGCATCAAGCGGGCAGAGGAGTCCCTGGAACGGCGCTCTATCGCCGCTTTGTCCCACCGAAGAGAATGGGTTGATCAATATGAAAAGGAGACAGTCTTACCTTTCGCCCCAACGCCGTCCCCGAGTAGAAGTAGTAGGCGATCCCCAGCACCCACAGCACCGCAAAACATAACAATATCCTCGATTTCCTACGCATGGCTGTCTTCTCGTCTCGCCTCGTCCGCCTGCCGAGTGTTCGGTGGCTCGCTGCTTCTGGTAGTGGTAATGGTAGTAGTGGGGGAACGGCGACTCGTCCCGGTCTGTCGTATTCGCGCAGGGCGCTTCGCCGCTCGGTTCACGGTCCTCCTGGGGGAGCAGGAAGCAGCTAGCCAAAATTCAGCAACGGGGGTGAGAGGGCAAAGGCTAACCCGCTGTAATCCAATCAAACGTCGGATAACCCAGTTGTGGAGGAGGGTTCGATGCTGCAAGCTCGTCGAGGGGCGGATCTTGATAAAGTCGAATGGGAAAGAGACGGGTGAATGTTGGAGGAAATTATTGTAGTGAGCGTTTTTAGTTTGCAGCTCAGCTCTTGCAGCAGCGAGCGAGGATCTGTGTGCGTGTGCTACAGGCTGTCTGCTGCTGTATTCTGTAGGTACGTCAGGGGCGCTAGAGACACATTGGGCAAATTGGACAAGGCAAGAATCAAGTCAAATATTTTCTTAATAAGAATATGTTCTATGTGCCCCCACTAGTCTAAAAACGCCATGCGGAGTAATATCGCGCTTGTGGAATCTGAATTAAGCAGAAAAGTCCACTTGATTTTATCCATCTCAGAGGGGGGACATTTTGACTTGTACTGCAACTTCCATCCATCCATCCATTTCTCAAAGTTGACAAAATTCTGGGAAATGTGCAAACTACAATGTACTTAAAATTCACACCATCTTTTTTAACATTGTTTGAGGCTAAAAGTGACAAAATGTTATTTTCAGCATGAGCCGCTTTACAAACACATCAGAGTTCTGTTGGAGGAGGTAAAAGAAGACCTTGGCTGTGTGCCCTCTGACCAGGACATCCTAAAAACAGTTAGGAGGATGTCAGATTTCCCCTTAAGGAGTCAGTCCGACTAGTAAATAAAAAAAAAAAAGACAGGAAAGACAGAAAAAAATCAGGAAATAAGAGTAACCTTAAAGCATGAGGTATTTCACTCAGTTGTATTCGGTTGTTTATACTGTATATTATAGAGGAAAGTGTGGAAAAAAACATGCCTTGTCAGTCCACGCAATGTTTCCTTGTCAGGGTCAGACACTTATCTTGAAAGATAGCAACCTTGTAAACGTCTATTCACTTAAAAGTCATATCAACTTTGGAGAAAATAAATAAATAACGGCTTCAACTGTGGTGGGAAAATTATTACTAAAATTACAAAAATTGTGAATGTTTTTATCGGTACAGGCTTTCTCTCATGGTTGGATAAAATGTCTATTTACACGTACCCAAAAAATGAAATAAATAATAAAACTCATGCCATAAATCCCAATATCATCATTAATGAGGGATACTGAGCGTATAGCGTCGCGGTGTCAACAGCAGGTTCCAACAGGGATACAGAAAGACTGGGAGAGTCTCAGAAAGGCACAGAAGCGGACTTCTCGAAAATGTTAATGCAGCAAACAGTTGAAAATTTTGCCATTGAAGAACACGAATGGCACTGAAACACTGAACAATGAGACACACATCCGAGTTGAGACAATGCCAATTGAAGTTCATCTGTAAATGGTTTCGTGAGCCTGAAATTTTACCCAAAATCAAGTCCATCTCTCCCAGGAAGCTCACCAAATGGTGGCGTGCTTTTTTCCGTTTTTTTTTTTTTTGTAAATTTTCCCATTGTGAGACTAATAAAGGCTATATTCCATGGCTTGACAAGTTATGACACTGTATCCAGCTAATGCGAGAGCCATATCACAAGGTGTTTCATTTATTTTCTACATTCAGTAGACTGGAGATACAGTAATTGGTTTAATAATGTAACCTGGAAAATGTGTGTAACTTTTTTCAGAAGCAACTAAAGAATACAAACCAAAGAGGAGGACAGAGATTCTGCGCTCCTTTTTATCGTTTACATTAAAAATGTCCCAAAATCATACTTGCGGTGTCACAAACAAAAAATAAACAGGAGCTGTTGCCCAAGCAAAGCGTTTCATGTCATGAACCACTGGCAGTCATATTTTTAATTGCAATGGCCCAATTTCCAGTGTGGGAGTCTAACCATTTCTCACAGCATATCATCGACTTAATACTGTGTATTTGAAGTTCAATTTTGTTGTTGTTGTTGATGAAATGGGTCATTTTTGGTGAGAGTTTATCAGCACAGCACATCTTGACATTTACCCACTCTCACCCCCCAATTTTCAGGTGGATTTAGGTCTGGGCTCTGACTGGGCCATTCCAACATTTTCAAGTTCTTCTGATCAAGCCATTCTTTTGTTGAAATGTGAACTTTCTCCTCAGCTTCAGCTTTCAAGCAAACGGGAATGTTTTTGGACCAAATTGATTATCTGCAAGTGCTCATAAGTCTCGCCACCTTGACTAAAGTCCCAGTTCAAGCTGAAGAAAAATAAGGTCAAAGTTGCCACCATGCTTCTTGTCATAGTTCGGTGATGTCGCAGTCTTGTTTTTAGGCGAGCTCACAGATAAGGAGCTCTGCAGGTTTATCACTACTTTTGTTTACATTTCCAAAATACCAACTGCAGTCAGAGCCAAATCACTTTATAGCCGGGGGTCACCAATTGCAGTCCTTGAAGGCCCCTATCCTGCATTGGATAAAATGTCTATTTACACGTACCCAAAAAATGAAATAAATAATAAAACTCATGCCATAAATCCCAATATCATCATTAATGAGGGATACTGAGCGTATAGCGTCGCGGTGTCAACAGCAGGTTCCAACAGGGATACAGAAACACTGGGAGAGTCTCAGAAAGGCACAGAAGCGGACTTCTCGAAAATGTTAATGCAGCAAACAGTTGAAAATTTTGCCATTGAAGAACACGAATGGCACTGAAACACTGAACAATGAGACACACATCCGAGTTGAGACAATGCCAATTGAAGTTCATCTGTAAATGGTTTCGTGAGCCTGAAATTTCACACAAAATCAAGTCCATCTCTCCCAGGAAGCTCACCAAATGGTGGCGTGCTTTTTTCCGTTTTTTTTTTTTTTGTAAATTTTCCCATTGTGAGACTAATAAAGGCTATATTCCATGGCTTGACAAGTTATGACACTGTATCCAGCTAATGCGAGAGCCATATCACAAGGTGTTTCATTTATTTTCTACATTCAGTAGACTGGAGATACAGTAATTGGTTTAATAATGTAACCTGGAAAATGTGTGTAACTTTTTTCAGAAGCAACTAAAGAATACAAACCAAAGAGGAGGACAGAGATTCTGCGCTCCTTTTTATCGTTTACATTAAAAATGTCCCAAAATCATACTTGCGGTGTCACAAACAAAAAATAAACAGGAGCTGTTGCCCAAGCAAAGCGTTTCATGTCATGAACCACTGGCAGTCATATTTTTAATTGCAATGGCCCAATTTCCAGTGTGGGAGTCTAACCATTTCTCACAGCATATCATCGACTTAATACTGTGTATTTGAAGTTCAATTTTGTTGTTGTTGTTGATGAAATGGGTCATTTTTGGTGAGAGTTTATCAGCACAGCACATCTTGACATTTACCCACTCTCACCCCCCAATTTTCAGGTGGATTTAGGTCTGGGCTCTGACTGGGCCATTCCAACATTTTCAAGTTCTTCTGATCAAGCCATTCTTTTGTTGAAATGTGAACTTTCTCCTCAGCTTCAGCTTTCAAGCAAACGGGAATGTTTTTGGACCAAATTGATTATCTGCAAGTGCTCATAAGTCTCGCCACCTTGACTAAAGTCCCAGTTCAAGCTGAAGAAAAATAAGGTCAAAGTTGCCACCATGCTTCTTGTCATAGTTCGGTGATGTCGCAGTCTTGTTTTTAGGCGAGCTCACAGATAAGCAGCTCTGCAGGTTTATCACTACTTTTGTTTACATTTCCAAAATACCAACTGCAGTCAGAGCCAAATCACTTTATAGCCGGGGGTCACCAATTGCAGTCCTTGAAGGCCCCTATCCTGCATGCTTCAGATGTTTCCCTCCTCTAACACATCAGATTCAAATGATCAGGATCGATATCAGGCTTCAGCAAAGCTTGCCAATGAGCTGATCATTTGAATCATGTTTGTTAGAGGAGGGAGACATCTAACACATGAGGGATAGGGACCCCTGAGGACCGGCGTTCGTGACGCCCGGTTTCTTCTCAGTACAAACGCACAAATTAATCTCATTTACACAAATCAATGTTCAATTGTTCATTTTAGTCCTACAGATAATCTCTATGAAATCCTTTGGCAAATTAAGCATTCATGTCGAATAAATATGAGCTATTCACAGAAATGCTGCATCTGCAACAGTTTTATTTTCACAGCGGTGCAGGCAATCCCCAAAATTGATGAGCTTGGCAGCATGGGAGTCTGCGCCAACAGTTACTGTGCTACTCCAGCACAAAATACCTCAGCTTCAGCTTTAATCAATGCATCCTTGAATGAGCTGTTAGGCGGGGAAAAAAATTAGAGCAGTATGGTCCTGACACGATCCATCAGGTTGACTGAGATTGTAGTTATCCCATTGATTTATTTCAACAGTGCTACAACTCCATTAGCAAATGAGCAAAGTCATTCTTTTTTACCCCCGCTCCTACTTGAAATAGCACAGTTAAAATACTTGTTCAAGAACTAATGTAATTGAAAAGGCTTAAAAAATGACTATTTACAGTACATTTGATGGTGGCGCGGGCACCCGCAGCGGCTCCTCTCGCTCCTGAGGCATGTAATCTCATCTGTGCTGTATGTGGCACATGTAGTACATTTGACAATAAAGTTGACTTGACATCTTACTACACACTCGAAAAAGTACGTTAGATAAAGGGACAATGATAATGCTCCTTTGTCTTGATACATGATCAGTTTCAATATGTAAAAAAAGTGAAGACACAACCACACTATTGGATGCCATTGCCTGTCAGACAATATGTTAAATGGTTGTGTGATAATTCATTTGAAGGACATCACAATTTGGGGGTGACCCGGACCCAAATTGGAGCCTATTGTGTCTTTTCAAACAGTGTATTTGTCTTCTCCTTGTCTTTTGGGTTTGTGGTAGTGGGTGTAGCTACTGTAGAGCTCGTTAAACACCTCACGGACTCCGGTCTGCAAGCCCGTTGTTAGGAACTTGATATCGTGCTCCAGACATAAGTCCAGTATGTGGTAGATTCCTTCTGTCAGGCGCAGCTTGATGTCTGACCGCAGAGTCACCTGAAGAGACAAGAATACGAGGTGTTGTTGAAGAAAAAGCACACAGGGCCTCAAATAAGGTGAGCCTCCCCCAAGTAAATTAACGTTAACCTTCAAAATCTATCTTAAAAATAATTTTGACGGTCCACTGGTTTGTAGCATTGAGAATACAGTCTTTGTTGTCATGGCAACCCCAGATTGTCTACTTTAGTGCTCTATTATTTTGCTTGACCGGCCAGGATAAGCTCTCTCTTTGTGGTAGCATTAGTATTGGTGCTAAAATTATTCTTCAAAGTTGTGTGCAGTGCTCCTATGATATTTGTAAACACTAAAATGATCAGAAAATGAATATTTCACGATATGATGCTATAAACTGGCGCACACAAGTTGTGTGAAGGTGTACATGCTCAAAGGGGCACGCGAAGTGCAGCCAGTGCACGCCGCCACAATGGCTATCATTTGTAAAGCACATCCAGCTAATAAATTTCACAACAGAAAACCTCGACCCAAAGCCAGGGTTTGAAAAGAGAAATGACCAGGCGTAATACATCTACTATTTGTCAAATAGGAAAAAAAAAACATCAAGCAGTCGAGAAGGGAATGAAAAAAAAAAAAAACATCAAGCAGTCGAGAAGGGAAAGATGATGACAGATATCATGAGCAGAACATCAAGAGCTTTCAAAGAGCTATACACTGATGTCAATGTTACACATTGACTGCCATTGACAGCAATATACAGTCTATCAAGCATGTTAGGGCTGGCAGGTGAATGAGTTTTTGAAAGTTGCAATTGAAAGTGTTTCAAAAGCATTTGATTGTCCTTCAGGAGGAGCCATTACATTATAAAGGCGCAGACAGACTGCAACGGCAGGGGGGAAAAAAATGAAATACACTAACTTGGGACCTTACAAAGATTGGAACTTGATTGCTGAAAGATTTTTTTGAGGAGTTTTTGTGTTGACCACAAAAACGGTTAACCAAAAAAGACAGACATTTGTTGCAGCGGACAGACAAATGCTTGTAGCAGTCTTCTGGGAACAGAAAAATGAATCCAGGGATTATGCCCATTGTTTTTATTTATTAAATCGTCAAAAATTAAAGGTTTTTGTTATTACTGAAAAGCGGACGTTGTATCGGTCTGTCGTGGTGAAGGAGCTGAACCAAAAGGCAAAGCTCTCAATTTACCGGTCGTTCCAACTTTCACCGATGGTCAGGAGCTATAGGTCGTGACCGAAGGAACGAGATTCCGGATACAAGCGGCCAAAATGAGTTTCCACACAGGGTGTCTGGGCTCTCCCTTAGAGATAAGGTGAGAAGCTCGGTCATCCGGGAGGGGCTCAGAGTCGAGCTGCTTCTCCTCTATGTCGAGAGGAGCCAGAAGCAAGTTTATCCAAAGGCTCGGGCTGCTGTAACTGTGATGATAAAATATCAATTATGTATTCGATTAATGAAGTTGACTCCCCAAAAAATCTTTCAGCAAATCAAGTTCCAATCTTTGTAAGGTCCCAAAGTTGAAAGTGCTTGTCAGCGCATGAACCATGCATGAATTCAAAGGAATTGCCTACAGATAGACCTCAGAGACAAGAGGTCGATGGAAAAGTCCCCCCTCCCACCCCCCACTCTCATTATAGGGTGCTGTGAAGGAGAATTTTTAGGGAAAAAAAAATATCTAATGCATCTTGAAATAATGCTGTGACAACAACATTTGGAAAAAGTGAATTGCGGTAAATACTTTCCAGCTACCGGAGACCTGAAAAAGCAAATGTTTAGTTCACTGGCTTTCAAAGTGTGGTAAGTGGGCTATTTCGAATGGTATGCCAAAGAATCGCTATATTAAAAGTTCAAGCTGTGCATAGTAAAAGAACTTTTTTTTCCAATAAAGTACAGTACATTTGTTGAGTACGATTCAGTTGTATTGAACTTTTAGGGACAATGCGTTTGCATTTTATCTTTTAGCACAAATATGTAGGTACAACTTTTACCTTGTATGTGCAATACATTTGAACTGAATTGTTATTTCAGTAGGTTCTTTTCGACCATACTTCCGCCTCATTTTTGACAAACTCTGGTGGTTAACACTTGATGGTGGTACTTGCAGAGTGAAGTACAGTATTTGATTAAGTGGTACTTGATGGAAAAGGTTTGAAGAACTCTGGTTTGCTGCTCGGTTTCCGTGTTTTTGTTCACTGTGCACTCTGTCTCGAGATATATTTTTGTTTTTTGACTACTACTCCAATTTGCAAATTTGTATTAAACCCTATTTTAAATTCAAATCATAAAATAATGCTGTCCTTGTAAATACATGATTCACATTTTGGAGAAATCATACCAGACTGCTTCTTGGAAAGTTTAATGTGTGTCTCAGAATCAGGACAGAGACAAGGCTAAATTACATTAGACTTGCATGAAGTTCTCGCTGTTTAAAAAGTCCACACGTCACAGGGTTTGATGACTTAAATAAACCCCTCCTCCTGCCTTTTCCATCAGCCTGTCCATTCATTTGGCCGTTTGTCCCAATCTCCTCTTCAAAATGTGTTAATTCTATTGCGAAATGCTGAGTCAAGTAGGCGTTGCATTAAATACAGTCTGGTAGCGGAGCGGAGCCATGTTCACAAGCCAGACATGAGTCACCGCGCCTTGAACCAACATCAAGCCAAAAGCTTAATTCCAGCACATGGGGCTCGAGTAATCCCGAGCCCCTTCGCACAGATTTGAGAACATTTTAAACAGCGCTGACAGAAAAACTTCGACTTTTCTTCTCGGGTTCAAAATATCACAGCTCCGCTGAATGTTAATATAAGCCAACAGAGCTACATCCCAAAATCAGATGAGATATACCTCTGTCTCATTTGTGTGTGTGTGTGTGTGTGTGTGTGTGTGTGTGTGTGTGTGTGTGTGTGTGTGTGTGTGTGTGTGTGTGTGTGTGCCACTCACAGCTGCATTAAAAAAAAAAACACTTGACACTAATGACAGATGGCTTTGGATTGGTGACTATGTATGACGTCTGTCACCCATTAAAGCTATTTTCCAAAGCTAAGTCAGTATTGGAAAAATAAATCACAGGAATCCTTCAAGTGTGTGTGCGTGTGTGTGTGCGTGTACCTTTTGCAGTTCTGTGACATATTGAGCCACCATGAAGGCAGACAGTGTGGTGAAGTTCTCAGAGATGGCAGCAATGTGCGAGTACATCCTTTCTACCAGCCGGGAGCACTGAAGATACACTTCACTTTCTCCACCTGCAACCACACATTGACATGATTCATTAACCAGCGAGTCAATACGTCAACTACAAAATACACCACCAGATTGTAGCTGCTATAAAACAAGCTAAAATGTCTCCAAAGCAAAGTTGTAAATCAACGTCGCAACGAAATAGGGTTAATTAAAGTAGCGGATGAGGGGTTTGTGGAAAAAGTATACAGGACTAATAAAACATACGCGGTTCACCAAACATTCGACCGGGATGTTTAGCGCTGCTTGTGAGCATTTTATTATTATTTTAGTCCTTAAAGCCGTACAAACTCTATGTTTAATTTCTGTTGGCATCTTCTGCCGCGGTTAGGGCTGACGGGCTAGGGTGAGACACTGAATACTGTTTATAGCAATATACTTTAAAAACAATTCTCATGCATTGGCCTTTCATCCACATGTCAAATGGGTTTTCAGTCTCTGAGAAATTATTTTTTGAAACACTCTAGTCAGAGGGAAGTTTTTAAAACTGGTTTTTGTTGCCTTTTTTTTTCATTCGTTGCATGAAAACAAAAGTATCTTATACAGACATCTCACAAAATTGCCACAGAGGGTCAATGGAAAATACTTTTCAATTTATCTGCCTTTGCCTTGGAGACAGAACTCAACGAAGCAAGAGGTTGCCAAAACAGTGTGTGCTTTTCAAGTGTGGTATGGGTACCATTAGTGATATGTTGGTTCCCTCTAATGGTACACACTCACACACACATTACAGGTCCTTTGTATTTAACTATTTATTTAAATACATTTGCATTCGGTCTTTGTGAAATGCTGTTATTTATATATTTGTGTGCGGTACATTTCAACTGAATCATTATTGAAGAACACTTTTTTTTTAATATTCATGATGGTGAATGATGGTCATGATGGTGGTACTTATAAATCTAAGTATTCATTTTTAGGTATGGGTGAAACGTTTGAAAACTTCTCCACTAAGATATCTCGCAATCAGATAAAACTTTTTAGAGGCTCCTGATTAGCTACAGTAAAAGTTGGGGATGAGCTTGTCATGATCTTGGCTGCCTGTAAATGTACACACATTGCTGGGATATTTTTTTACACTTGTACGTGAAGTTTAAAAAAAAAGAAATAAATACTCATACCTCCTGGATGAAAAGATTAAGCCCATTGTTAGATGTTACAGAGGAAAAGTCACAATAATCCTTTTATATATCCAATTTCCAAGTAGATGAAAAAATAATCCTTGCTCAGACCAAAGTCTGACTTTGAGGTCAGTTTCATTTAATTAAAATAGGAAAAATGTACCTGTGTCGGCGGCTCCTCTCTGCCGACCTTCCTGCATGATGGAAGTGACTAGACGGTAAAAAACATTCAAGAATGATGGCGCGGCATTCAGCATCACCTAAATGCACACGAGGAAGGCACAAAAAGCAAAATGTCAGACAAGAAAGAATAAAGAAGCTTGATAGCAATTGTATTTAGTCATGGAAAAATGCTCTGGTGTAGGGCATATTTGCCTTCTACAGCTTCAAATGATTTAGTGTGTGCAAAGCCACATTTCAAGGTTTCAAGGGAGTGTGATAAGGTTGGGAACCTCTGCTTTATGATATGCCATATCAGCTGCTTCACTGACATTGCCTACAATCAAGAAAAATTGAATCCACATTCCTGCTTGGCAGTTGTAACTCAGTCTCTAAGGAATTGGCCCGGCATGGTTGGAGGTTGAGGACTTATCGAGAGACAGAAATGTGCAGGTACCCTTGAGCAAGGTACTGAATGCTTGTAGAATCCCCAAGTGACTCATCGTCACATCAGTATTTGTTCAATTCAAGCTACAATGGCCTGGCAGAGGATGAGGAGAGTAAGATGATGTCATCAACTCACAAGGTTTCCATCAGTAAATGCTAGCAGTCTCGCATCTCCAACCCCCCCGCCCAACACTCTGACCTATCACACCTCACCACTTCAGCTCACTTTCCTGTTCCACTTAACCCGCATTGTGCAGTCCAGTCACATCTTCCTCGTCTCTTCTCCTGCTTCCTCGTCACCAAATCTTTTCGTTCTTTGCTGCACCGCTACACTAAAACCCCATCCCCATCACCACCCTCTCTGGCAGTCTCCTCTGCTGCAGTCTTTCAATTTGAAAAACATCTGAAGTGAGTTAGAAGGTTTTTGCCTGCATTTATTCAATGCAGCTGCATTGTTTGTTACAGAGGTCCAAACATGACAATACTAATACTGGCCGGCCACAATACAGATAAAACGTGAGAACACACTACTAATTTGTGGCGAATAGATCTAATGTGCGCACAAAATACTAATTTATATTAATATTTCCATGCACAACTTGAACGTCTGAGTAAGCAAATACCATGGGTGCCACGAGAAATGAATCAATGTATTTTTTCTAAATATTATTTATGAATTACAAGTGTACCTTTGTTCATCTTTCTATGCCAGCAACATATAGGGACATGCAGAATATTAAAAGTCAGGCGTGAAGTAAACTTGGCCAACCATCGTTTGAGTAATACTTAGGGCTACTAAGTAATATTTCAATCATTACTTTCGTTAGTTTTCTTTTAACGCAACCCACCCAGGAACATAGACCCATAGATATATCTGTAATTTTAAAAAAAGAATATTTCAGCAAAAACAAGTGAAACTGGATGTTTTCCACTGGAACCCTGGGTGGGAATCATGACAATAAAAGTTTGGACGGACCAGTACAACACTGAGATTCAATTATCACTGTGTATATTTACACACATGCACATTGAGTACACATACCTGAGTATGACACTGGATGATGGCAAAAAGCGCCTCGTGAATAGCCAAGAACGCTGACTGGTAAACAACTGCAGTCAGGTGGTCAAGCGGCACGGCATGAAGCGCTCCGAGGACCAAGACTACGTGATGAGAGTTTCGGATTAGACCCTCGCCCTGGCGCAGCAGCGTTGTCATCGCTGTCACGGTAGGAATGGTGAAGGTCACAGCCAAGCTCGTGACCTGACTGGATGACCGTACAAGAAACTGTAACAAAGATGGATAGTATGGCATCAATACATTTTTGTGGTAGACAAACAAAAACTAATGTACATAAATAACTCTGCTATGTTAGTGGCACAGCACTACTGCGACTATTTCACTCGGAATCCCTCTGACTGGATTAAAAATCATGCGCAGTATCAGCCGGTGACAGAGTACCTCTCCAATCAGGTTGTAAAAGGCATGACAAAGTGGGTGCCAATAATACACAAGAAGCTTTTTTCAGTGCCTCTCATTGTACTGGGTCTTGTGGGTCACTTCGCCACTTGGCACATTGCAATAGGACTGTCATATAAATTCATTAATATTATTTCCATCTTTATTTGTCTGCACAAAAATACGATTGGTTCTTCCACAGCCCAAGGACATCACAGCCGTGGAGGTCAACGGTAATAGGTAATAAACAGGTTCAACAAAAAAGCATGGATTTTTTTTTTTTTTTTCTCCATGGAGGTGGGGGCATACCATAATTGAGTTACCGGTATGCTGGCAAGATACTACAGCAGAGAAAACTTTGTATAATGCATGTGTTTTGAATCACTGATTATTTATAATAGTTCCAAATTAACCCAGAACAATCTGTTCAAAAAGCTGCATATTGAAAACATTTTGTAGATAGGGTACACGGCTTACTTTTTTTTTTTTTTGGCCTTATGCATGATTGTATGTAAACAAATGGTGCTTCTGGCTCGTCTGATGCAAAACACATTGGAGCTTCATTGTATGAACCAAGCTTCGCACGCGCGAGTGTGTGAGATTGTCATTTGGCTGACAAGTCACTCCTAATGGTTGTCACATGTTCTTCTGGCAGGCTGTCAGTGAATGATTAGAGATGAGGAATCACAGTACGACTACCGACCTCTTGAGTTTCTCTTTATAATGTATTCTGCTCCCCTCAAAGGTCTGATTGTGCACATTACTGTGAGTCATTCCAGAGTTCTCCCTCTGACTGCATTAAAAATAATTTGCACAAAATGATGAGTGTACATTTGGACATGCCAGTAAAGTAACGTAAATAAAAAAACAACAAGAACAACGTCTGTTAAGTTCTGGGCTCACACGTTTCTTACAGTATGTGTACATTTTGCTTACCACCATAGCAGACAGAATTTGTGGTGCAACCAACCACAGAGCTTTGGAGCAAGGTTCAGGTAACTGACAGCAGGAAAGCAACTTGGCAATGATGACAACAGCCAGCACTTCCTGGAGACGAGTAGATCGAGGACACAGTGAGATAACAGGCTTTTGTCCAATACTATACACTCAATTGTTACAATATAAAATACGCCTGCACAACTGAATGATGACTAAAACAAGAGCTGTGGCAAATATTTTAGAAACAGGTCTAAAAATGATGCAGAGATGGTTGACAACACTGCAAACTACAGCCACGATTAATAAACATGCTGCTAATATTGGGACAGGTGTCAAGTTATTCTGCCAGTGCAAAAACACAAGAAGAAAATCAAACCTTGTAATTGCCAGCGCTCAGCTTGCAAGTGTCTAACCCATTGTTGATGATAGTCAGCAGCATGCTGAACTTGCAGGGGGTGCTGTTCTCCAGCAGGTGGTGCAGCAGATTCTGCACGGCTGGCTCCAGCTCACACATGTCAGATGGGGATAGCCATGGAGCTACAAGAAAATAGAATCATTTAGTTTACAAACTTAATTTCACAAAAGTCTTTGAAACAACACGTAAGAGAAAGAAATAAGAAAAAAATGCCTCATCAGAAAATGCATAAAACAAAAAGTCTTGTCGTTGCCTAGAATTATTTTGTTGTATGAATGGTAACCGGTGGAGGATCTCAAAGTAAATTATGAACCTTCTGCCATCCAGTGGAAGAGCATTTAGCTGTTCTGCCTATCGCCATATGTCACCGGTGTAGCTAGATTAACCAAGATACTTAAGTGAATAAATCACATCTTTTGGCCCAATTAAGTGAAATTGGATCTCTCGTAGCACACTAGCATGCCGTGACATACTTGTTGAAAATCGCTGACATAAAGGCATGCTTTGATGAGTTCAGAGTGGAATATCACAAGCTGTTGGATTGATAAAACGGAGCCAGGAGACACAAGTCTCTCTCTGACAAAGGGGGGAAAAAAATCTAACAGACAGGAATTAATCAAAAAAATTACAAGTGCCAGCTGCCAGAAAGTAGCGCAATGCAACAGAGTAAATGTAGTAAAAACGATCTTATCAAAAGTACTCTGACAAGTAAAATTCCTCCCAAATGTTTCTGAAGTGATTGTAATCGAGTAAATGTAGCTTGTTGCCACCCATCTTTGCATGGGTTAAAGAATTCCCACTCACATCAACAAACAAAATCAGCACTCACTCAAGAAGAGTGGAAGCTGTTTGAGCTGCAATGCTCTCAATAGTCCTTATTTTCACTCCCTAATACTTTGGTCCAGATATAGTGTATCAATTAATTTGCATAGCTGCACAAAGGAAGAACATACCTGTCAAAACTTTGTGTACATTTTGAATGATCTGAGCATACAACTCATCCATCGCTTTTACTTTCTTTTCTTCTTCTTCTTCCTCCTGGTCCTCTCTTCCCGTCTTCATCGCTGCCATGTAGAATGCTGACAGGAAATGCAAAGATGAAACTAGGAAGTCCATGGGTCTGGCTGCGGAGTTCATCTCTTTCAGAATCTGCTGGCAGAAACCCTGATAGAGATTCTCCTGGCTCAGGATGGCCTTGTCGTTGCCCCCCACCGCCAAGGAGGACATCTCGCACCGCAGCATGACCGTGACGGTGTCGACCACAAAGGCTGGACTGAGCGAGCAGGTTGGCTGCATACCAGCATCGCTGACACTCTGGGCCTTCAGGACTAATTCCACAGCTGATCCCATTGAGGATGCGATTCTTGCAAGGGATTGGGTCAAGGTTTGATCCATTGATTTACTCCTTCCCAGGTAAGAGGTCATCGCCTTGGAGGTGGCGGCCAACGATGCCAGTAGAAGATGAACAGACATGATAGAGCCGCCAGGATTTGCTGTGGTGTCCTCACTGGTAAGAAATGAAGCAATCTGGTCCAGATTGAGGCGTACGCTGCTGTTCCTGATCAGAATTAAGTTGACCAAATATATGATGAAGTCCTGCGTGGCTTTCATCAAATCCAACCAATCAGAGCTGCCGGTGGAGCTGAATCGTCCTTTCTTGCTGTGCCAGAGGATTGTGGACACTACAGCCTGCAGTAGAGTGCTGCCGTGAATGATCTTCAGAACACTTGGGAAGTTTTTGCCCTCCACAAGAGAAGCAAGTATCTTGAGCAGCTTCACTTGGAATCCTGCGCAAAAATGCGCTGAATATGAAGCTTCTGAATAACAAGCGGTGGATGTGAGCATGAAGCCAAGGAGGAGGAAAATGCATGACAGGTCCTCAGAGTTCAGCCCATCTGGGTTAAGGCTTGAAAAGATTGACAGCAGGTCTATCAGCTCTTTGGTTTGAGCGTCGCTCAAAAGAACAAACACTTTGCCAGACTGCGAGGACACTCTCATGTCCTCTACAATGGTCTGTTTCACTAAGGCGGACAAAAGCTCCATCTCACCATTTTGTGCTTCCTGATACTTCTCGAGGGTGGGACAAACTTGAGGGGCATGCGCGGCTGTTAGAACCCCAAAAATCCTCTGCGAGAGGGAACCAACAGTAGCGGTGACGAGCGATGGCAACTCGCCCAGAACGGAGCTGTGGATAAGCTGTGATGATATGAGGGAGACAGAGAGTTGATCTTTGCATCTGCTAGACTGCTTGCTCAGCAACGACGTAACCAGAACATTTGCGATGCAGTTCACGTCTTCCCTGTTCAGGTAGGGGGCCAGCAAAGGTAGGTTAGATATGACAACGAACCAGTGTGCAACACGGTGAGAGCTGGAGTCCACACTGCTCATCTGCCCATCCCACATCTGATCTCCTGAACATAACCAGAGCTCATCTCGAGCCAAAATAAATCCGACTGCCCTTTGCAGGGACTCTGACGTACTTGGTTCTGCGAGTGAGGCTGAATCCAACAGAACTTTCTTTATCTGTTGCAAAGTGAGGAGCTTCAGATGAACAAAGGTGATGGGACTGCCTGAATGCAGACGTACAGAATTTATCTCACAATTTAGGAGATTCTCTATGCTTGTTAAGGCTTCAGCGTTGGAGTCAAGAGGTGTGTATTTGCTGCAGTAGATGTGAAAGAGTGTGTCCACTTCTATCCAACTGTATCTGAGCAGAAGAACCGAATCTTGGGTTTTCAGCTGCCATTGAGAGCTAGATGCTTTTGCAGACTCTTCCAGGTCTAGTTTCTTTTTTCTTTTCTTTGTTGCTTTCGAAATTGAACTCACATTTACTTTCGTAGCCTTGCTTTCTGTGGACAAAAGGTGCAGCAGGTTGTGGAGAAGCTTCCGTATCTCCTCCATCAGGGTTTGACCTTGTCTGACCAAGGGAAGAGGAGAAGCATTGTCTAGGGTCTTCAGACTGAACAAAACAACGTGAAGGAGCTGGCTCAGACTAAGAAGCTTCATTGATGCATCTTCCCGCTCACAATGCCTCTTTTCTTCACCACTCACTCCATCAAGCTCCATCTTCTCTGCCTCTCCATCTTTCTTTACCAGGCCAGGTAAAACATATTTTCTCACATTCTCCACCACTAAGGAGCAAATTTCAAGGCCCTGCGAGGGTGGGGTATCCAGAATGCTGGCCCTGAGTGAGGCAGAGATGCCGGCGGAGAGCAGGGGGGGTCGACCCTTGTCAAGAGATGGCTGACAGATCACCGAGAGGAGCTCAGAGAAGAAGCGAGGCAGCTGACGGAGCTTGGTGTATGTCTGGAGTAGACTGCACAGCATCATCTGTTGGGGATGAAAAAAACCCAAAATAAATCGATATATTGTCTGAATTTACTCACAAATGTACTTGCAGATACAAATAGCAATTTTAAATAATCCAGCAGCACGAAACTCAGCTAATTAGTTTTAAATAGTTATTGTCACCTAGGTTGAAGAAAAAAAACCCACATTAGATTAGTTTAGCGCTCATATCAATAAGCGGCATGGATGGATGGATGTTTTGTAAAATTATCTAGTTACTAAGGTGACATAACTAGGTTTTTCTTTGTTTGATCATATGTTGAGTCGCACGCTGTCTTGACAGCTTGCTGTGATGTCACACAATCTAAACAACTGAGCTCCAACATAACCCCACAGTGGCAACATAGGGATGATCAGGGTTTGTATTGTCCTGCTTGGTGGCTATCATGAACTGAATTCCTGTAAAATTAAAAAAAAAATAAAAATAAAAAAGGAGTGGATCAAGACCTGTCGGGCCCGTTGGACTCGTGTTTCCATACAGTCGGCATTAACCCAGGCTGAAGATAACAACTTGTCAAAGTATGGGTCCAGAATCATGTGGTTGAGACCCAGAAGCACCTTCAAACAGCGATACCATGCAGGGATGCTGAAATACAAAGAATTTATATTCTATGTTAAAGCACATCGTCACCGGTTGAAACGCATATAGATCTTAGTTCCATAACACTAAAGGGGAGTTGAAAATCAATGATTTACCTAGGCTGGGCCTGATTGAAGAGAATTTGTGCGAGGCTTTTGTAGAAGGTGAGCTGGACCTCTGCATGTCTTATTCTGTCTCCTGTCACATTATAAATATCTGCAGATAGTGCCTGGCTCAACAGTGATTCCATAGCCAGCAGAGCTAGGCACCAACTTTCGGGCAAACAGGGGACATCAGACAAACCCAAAGCAGGCAACAACTTTGTGTGGTAATAGAAACACAGCATCCTGTGTTCTTCCTCATTTTCCGCTCGACATTTTCTGTAGCTTTCAAGAAACAATTTAAAAAGCAATGGGACGCTGTTTGACTTCACAGTGTAAGGCAGCGGTGGCTCACAAGAACCTAATTTGCAAAGTACAGCATTGGCTGGCCGGAGGGGGCCTTTTGTCACACCGGCTCCACGTTTCCCAGTATCCCCTTTGGAGGGTACAAGCTCCTCTTTGTAGGATGCCAGGTGCTCAGGAGAGAAGAGCGACAACTGAAGGATGGAGTCTATCCTGACCCGAACATCTCTACAAAGATGCTGGCGTAGACTCAGATGTGTGTGGGACGGCGCGTACTCAGCAGCTGTCAGCATGTGTCTGAGGAGCAATAACGGCTCAATGAGCTGGTTTGTTACCAAGGTGAAAACTCTGTTTGGATTGGCTTGTCGTCGCTGAACTGATAAATACGATGTTAAAACCTGAAGCAACAACTCAAACAGATGAGCTCCACTGGTGATTTTCTTCAGGCTCTCCTTGAGCTCTTGGTTAAGAATCATTTCAGTTTGAGGATCCTGATCGTCTGTGTGAAGACTGACAGTGTCAGTTATGAGTTCAGGCTGATGGGATCCTGAGGGCAGAGCTTGTTGCAGTTGATGGCAGGCGAAGGAGCAGACTTTAACCGTGAGACTGACCATGAGCTCATACTTGGTGGTGAAGACAGACGAGAGAGTAGAGGATGAGAGAATTCCCTGGCACACATTCAGCAGGGTGGACACACCCACTGATAGCTTGGTGGGGGTGCCGGAACACTCCTCAAGGAGGTTGAGTAGCAGCTAGAAAAAAAAAAAAAAGTATGTCATTTCTCGCTGTTTAAGTAAACTATAGAAGTAAGTCTGCCGCGGCAAGAGTGCCATGAGAGATGATCAGGTATGCGACAAGAAATTATCCAGTTGCACTTAATTGTTCCATAAATTATTTATTTACTATAGATACATGCATCTTAGTTCATCCATCAAAACCACTAATGTTGATATCTTGTGTTCCCAATCGTCAATCAATTTAATAACAATCACACACCTGTGCCATGTTGAGCCTCACACTGACCGGCTTGCCCTCCTTAATAGTGACGTGGAGCTTCCGACTGTGAAGGAAATCATTAAGGCAACTCCAGAGGCCCTCGAGCACAGTTTGTGAGAGCTCAACCTTTTTATTATACCAGCCTGTAAGAGCATATGTGCACCAATCCAACAGGACCTAAAACAGTACAAAGTCAAGCAGTGAATCACAAATGAATACAACTTCAATTAACATCAATTTAACAAAGGAGTTGAATTTAGCCATTTGAAAGATGACCATCAAACGCATAGATCCAGAACACCTACTTGTTCCTTGTTGGGTAGCAAGCACTGAGAGGAGATCCAGGCAAAACGTGCTAGCTTTAACTTGTCCTCCCATGGAGTATGAGGGCTCTTTAGCTTCAGATGGATGCCAGAGTAGATGGCAGCCATTGTTGCTGCTATTTAAACCTAATGAGGAGGATGAAAAGCATTATAGCTGAAGTAGATTTTGTGTATTATGCCATTAAACTACCATGAATGATTTTTTTTCAGCAACAATTCATGGAAGACTGCATATTTTGTATTTAGTTCCTAGAACACAACAAATCTGTGATTCTCAAAGTCTGGTGGGTACCAATGGGGGTAAATGGGCGTCCTCTCGTTGTAAGTGAAGTAACACTGAATTAATGTTGAAACTGTACAAAATGTCACAGTGGCATAAAATTTTATTTAGATCAAATACAGTATATTCAATTCCAGTTCCGTTGTATTTATCTTTTAAAGGAGCGCACTTATAATAATGCTTTATCTACACTAGATGGTGCCCAAAGCGCTTTACAAATAAAACAGAATTGCTTTTAATCTTTTAAAAAATGTTTGTTTTAAACTGAACACATGTATAATATATTTTAATTGACTCATTAAGTGCAGTTTTTCCATTTACCATATTTAAATGCAGTGTCACTGATTAAACAGTGTATAATAATATAGTGCATTGGGTTGTGATAAAATATACATTTTTAATAAGAATCTGCCTCGTTTTGCTTTTTAAACGCAATGAATATTACGCTACTGCGTTTAAGAGTAGTAGAATGACGGTCGCACTGGGAAAGCTAATTATGATATACATATTTTTTTAAAAGTGGTACATGGTACAAAAAGTTTGAGAACCACTACAATAAATAGACAATGTTGATGGTTTTAGTTTTACAAGGTTGATTTAATTTGGAAAGTGCCACGGGTTAGCTTGAACCATAACACCCAGTTTATTGTCCCTCATACTTTTGATTTAATCGGGTTTTCCTTTTTTTCCGTTGACTCTATGCACAACATGAAATGATCACAACTGAGGCCAAACGGTTCAAGCCATAATGAACGAATAATTTCATCACACAAACATTGCATTTACTTACGCATGAAAATTAGATACACTAAATGCAATTATGTACTGCTACTTTATGCACTACCAGTCAAAAGTTTGAAAATATATAAATATATAAAAAAAAATGAAAATATCAATGCATGGTTTAAGACAAAAAAGTTCAAATTTTGACATATTCACTGGACAAATAAGATTACAGTCCATAAGTGTTAAAAGCGCACGCCATACTAGTTGTGACTGTTTAGTGTCCAGGTTATGAGGGTTTAAATCTTCCATGCACACTGTGTGTGCTATGAAGAGATGGCTAGTCATTTAGCACACTTGGCTAACGACCACCTCGGCTAACACTAAAGCCTTTTCTTCTGCGAGCAACAAGAGTAAACATTACTCTGCCATAATACCGTTTATGAATTACAATAAGTACACAAATGTCAATCACATTAATTCATTCAACTTACGAGTTCTCAATTCACACGTGCCTCCTGTTTTCATTTATGACCTTTCAACTTCTACCCGGCCCACAAGGCAAAAGCAATGGAAAAATTATGAAAACAGTTGAGGTGCATTTTCCGGAGAAAACGGTCATTAAAACATGTTGGACAATATGAATAACCGTTTTAGGCCTTTTGCACTGTAACAATTAACCAGCACGTTATCATGTTTAATACCCACCTTTACCATTGCTTGTGTTTGTTTTCGGCAGCAGCAAAATGATGGATGACGGTCATTGAATGGGTGATTTAGCATGCATCATACATATTCACATTTCAAAGAGGGGGCGTATGTACATTTTCAATTAAAAAATGGAAAAAAAAAAAAGCAAAGTACATCGGGGCTATCTCAATCTGGGATTGTTTGGTTTTGCCTGGCAAAGTTTTCGACCACGAGCAGCCATTGAATATCCTATCTTACTGTAGGAATCGTTTTGGACCGTATCATATCGAGGTCACCTTTCCTGTTTCTGCGCTCAACGCATCTGCCTTATGAATGTTTTGTTGAATTCGTTTGTCGTACTTTCCCTTGCATTTACCTTCAGCTTCCAGGGACCGGGTTTGACCCGACTGTTGACAAATGCTTAACAGCATATGACAGTGACAGCGAGGCGGGGTGTAGTTAACCTGTCGGCGATAAGAGATACACGTCGTGAAACGGCTGTCAAAAGCAGATAAAGACGGACTCTAACGGTTAAAACTTGACGATGTAGACCAAAGCGAGGTCCCAAATTCGCCCAGCCATGCTGACGTGACTGGTGGACGTGTGGCGTATTATTACTCAGTAACAACCACACTCCCTGGAATATATATTTTATTGTTATTGTTATTGTCGTTTAAACCGGACGACAATGCGATTTTTAATCAGCATGTCGACGTGTACACACGGAGCGCGTTTACACAAGCCTCCGCAGCGCAGGACGATATGGCTCGCTGTCTCTCCTGACCCCCAGAGGAAGCGTCCCCCGGCCGGGTCGAGGACCTCGGCCTCCTCACCAACCGGCTTGCTTCTCTCCCAGTCAGTCGTGTCGAGTCTGTCCCGCAGAGATCTCTCTTCACTCCGCTCGTACGTCTTCGGCAAGACACGGACGCCCTTACGCACACTTGTTGCCTTTGCCAGCTCATCGGTACCCTCCACATCCGGATCACTTAAGGGTCAGACTGACACGGAAGGTGGCCACACACCGACCAATGTACCACTGGAGGACGTCAGGAGGGTTTTGCGACTTGCTCACCCGGAGAGATGGAAACTATCAGGTAAGAGAGAGACAGATTGGTAATGTAATGGATATAAAAGGTCTGCACACAGCTGTTTGAGGGCCAGCCAGGTGTTTGTGACATAGATGAGACCAAGAATCCCGTCATTAATGTGATCTATAACCTCCACAACCAATTGATTTGTTCCAAATCTTTTCAAGTGGTAAAGTAAAAATAGCTGAAATAATGTGGTTGCACAAGTGCGCACATCCTCTGATTACAGGGATGTGACTGGTCAGAATAAACCAACCACATTCAATCGCCAGCACACACTTGGCATCATTATTGATTAACCACAAATAAAGTTAACATGTTCATGGGCTGTTCCTGACATTTTTTGTTTGTCTTCATGCAAAAGTGTTTTGGTTTTGTGTTAATACTGACAGATATTTGGCACTGCATAATTTCATCCACCAATTTCAGGCCAGCTGAAGAAAAATAGCCCCAAAGCATGATTCTGCCTTCACCGTGTTTCACTATAGGTATGGCGTTCTTTTGGTGATGAGGGGTTGTTACCGTCTGGAATTATGGCTGAAAAGTTCAATCTTGGTTTCATTGGACAATAACAACATTTCACAAGGACAAGTGGAAAGTGTTCACAAATGTGTAATAAATAAATAATAGTAAAAATAGGAAATTTTAAAAATGGTTGGTAAATGTAGAAATACTGACTCGCCTGCTGTACTTAAAAACAGACTGTGAATTGCACCAAAATAAAAAAAATAAAAATGAATTTTTACAGTCCCGTTTTCATAAATGTGACCAACATAAAAACCTACTCAGTACACAAAATGATTACCCTCTATTATTAACATACATAATGCTCGTCCGGGAAGTACAAACCCTGATCTGGCTGGAAAAACAAAATGTTTGAGCAATGAAAATTTCCAAGGACATCACCTCTATACTTTCCAGTGACTCCATTAGTCTCTCTGTATCCTTTCTTGCAACCTATAATGACACTTTCTACTCAGGGGCCACCTCTTTCTGAAAACATCCTGTTTGTTGCCAAGCAATGTCAAGGTGCTCTTGATCAATTTTTAGGTGTCATCTTGGTCTCAAATGTGAACAACTTGGTGAGGAGGATTGTATAATTTGCAAATCTCATTGAAACAGAAAATCTATTGGTCCACTATGTTGAGAATTTTTGCCGTTCAGCTCCTTGTTTTGTACACTTGATCAGCATTCCATTTCATCATGCTGTTTGAGTTTAAAATGTAAAATCAACTGACAATGTTCTCATATTTCACTTATAGCTGCTGTTGGCTTCTTGACCATCTCCAGCGCCGTCACCATGTCGGCACCGTTTCTCCTGGGCAGAGTGATCGACACGATCTACACGGCTGGAACGGACGCGGAGGCAATGACGTCCTCCCTCACGTCGCTGTGCCTCATGTTGACTGGCGTGTTTTTGTGCGGTGGGGCAGCCAACGCCGCTAGAGTCTACCTCATGCAGATTTCCGGTGAGTAGTGGATGGAGATAGTGGAATCCAGATTGTGTTACAACGGAAAAACAAAGAAACTGTGTCATAAATGTACTTTATGAATTGTAGTTACAGTGGAATGTATACTGTGCTATAATTTCCTATAGACACCACAACATGGTGAAAAAGGACTACCGGTACTTTTGTCAAAACGAAGCTCCTCATCTAACTTTTTACTGTTATAGCATTTGATTGAGCAGTAAGAAACTGATTAGTTTTTCCATGAAAAACAGAGGATAAGCCCCCCATAAAAAAACCCTGCAAATTTGCTACTGCTGAACCACGAATAGTTTTGGGAGAAATGAGACATCACAAAAATTCAAGATAAAAGCGCAAAATGGTCGCAGCAAACTCAAGTCACTTCACAACAAGCAGTAGTTTGATACAGTGAACAATTATTTTAAAAAAAGAGGCTTCAAGCTGTATATCACCACTACCACTTGGAGTTAATGGTCGAATTAAACATACCACAAAGAGAATTCCACATTGTACATTTAAAACCAACACACAGTTTTGCCTTCGGAATTCCCACAAGTTTTAATGTTATCACATATAGTGAGACGCCATCGATGGGTTAACGAATAGCATTGATAGCGACAATGTTGTAACCCACAAAGCCATTGATGAACAAAAACGGTGAAGCACCACATGTAGACATAACAATACTGTACTGTCAGGCAGATATTTTCTATCCTACACAAAATAACTACTAATATTACTGTATCTTACTGAGTGAGTTCTGAAACTCTTCTTTGCGTTTCCATTCATTTCAATGGTGAAAAATCGTTTTCAATACAAGTTACAATTGTGGTCACGGAACAAATTAAACTCGTAAGTCAAGGCATCACTGTACAATACTTTGGTTTTGAGTACAAGTGACAACATGATGACGCGATGCTCATGGCAGCAGGTTGAACTCCTAAGTTGTTTTGTCTGTATGCCATAAGTTATATAATGCCCAAAACTTTTGGAAGAATGGAGAAGGTGCTTCTATAATAAATTGATGCCGCTTGACATTTCCCTGCAGGCCAACAGATTGTGCGCAATCTCCGCGCCTCCGTTTTCTCCTCCATCCTCAGACAGGAAGTGGCGTTTTTCGACAGGAACAGGACAGGCGAGCTGATCAATCGCCTCTCCGCAGATACGGCCGTGGTCGGCCGCTCGATCACCGACAATCTGTCTGACGGCCTGAGAGCCACAGCCCAGGCAGTTGCTGGAGTCAGTATGATGGTGAGTGTGTCCCTTTGGATGGTTGATCATTTTTTACCATTTTAGCTGACAGGATATTTTTATGAGCGCAAAACCCTTTGAGAGCACACAGACCTCTCCTGTCAATTCTCAAACATTGGCGCCTCCCATTGAGCTTTGAACACTAACAAGAGGTCACATTTCATGCAGAGCCATGTTAAATGGGATTTTCAAATGTCGTCTGGATCAAATGTTATTTTCTCTGAACTTTAGTTCAAAGCTTTTAAGCTGACAAGGATGTGGACATTTTTAAATGTTATATCCTAAACATAAAAGATCAATTCTAATGGCATCATCCCTGTGATAATTCCAGCAAAGGTCCCACAGGCACATTTCTCATTCACACATAACAGCAATCCAGGTTGATGCAGTATCTCAACGTAAAGAATAAATGAATACGCATTAAAATAGACATTACAACTTTCATCACACAAAGAAAGTATTTTAAAGAATGAAGAATATTTTCAGTAATTTTTTTTTTTTTTTAAACTGTAAAAATGATGATTTCTCTGTGTTTCCATCTACTACCAGTCAAAGGTTTGGGCACACAGCCCAGTACTATTGAATGAGAAACTGTGTCCATAGTTTGGCTGCTCGTCTATGTTGTTCTGTTGTAACCTTAATGAAATTAAGCTTCACAATTTAATTAGCGAGGAGGCATTTTGGCATCTGCTCTTCCCTAAACACATCACGTGCTTCCTGGAAGTCCTCGTGGTGTGTTGACAGTTGTATTGCTACAGGCTTGTTCACTACAAGGAAGTAAAAGAGGTTTGTATCTTTTGTCTGCAAAAGTTGAGAAACTGGTTTGAAGTAATTCTCCGAACAATGCATGGGAAATTAGTCAAAAGGCTCTGCACCTCTATTGAAACACCAAAACCTTTTTTTTTAAAGCAGCTTTTGTTTTTCTCACAATTACCTTTTTGCTTATTGTCGAAAAAAATTGTTGAAACAATTCATAACATATTGTATGTCATATTCAACTGGAGAGTCCAGCCATTTCCTACATCTTATTAAGGTTCAGTGATTATGATTACAAAGTTTTTGACATCACTGGTAGGTACCTTTCGCTGGCCGCATTACAATCAAGAAAGTGTGTATTATAGTTATTTTAGGTTATTTTTAACACCTGTCAAAGGTGACAAGCGGTTTGGGCTTGTTCCTGATTTTGTGGTAGCCCACAAAATAGATCTGTTCTATATATATATATATGTATAGATAGATAGATAGATAGATAGATAGATAGATAGATAGATAGATAGATTATATATATATATAATCTCTAGAAAAGCTCTACAAGTCAAATTTATTATTATTTTAAAATTCATTGCGACAAGTAACAAACTGTGAACATCTTTGCAACCTTTTATGAACCCTGACGAAAACCCAAAGTTCGCTATGTTCGCAAGCATTAGCCGCTCAGTGAGATACCAGCTGAAGACTTTCATCTTGAGAGTTTCCAATTTGAGACAATGGTGGTGACCTCCCACCCCAACGTGTTTCTTGTCCGAGCTCTCATCACCTGCTACTTTCTTTTTCACTCTCACTCCTGCAGTTCTACGTCTCCCCCAGCCTGGCGAGCTTCATGCTCCTGATCGTTCCCCCTTTGGCCGGGGTGGCTGTGGTGTACGGCCGATATCTTCGCTCCATCTCCAAACGCACGCAGGATGCTCTGGCCCAAGCCACACAGGTATACCATACACACATGCTTGTCGGTTAAAGAGAGCCAAACAGTGTTTCTAACCATGTTGAGAAAGTTTTAAAATATGTGGTAATTATTGTAGGAACGTTGCAAGGAAGTGTGACAAAAATAAGATTGCAAAGAGATTGCGTCAAACCATCTTGCGCTCTTAGAGGGGAAAAAAGTGCTGTTGTACCTTTAAGGGTATTAACCGTTTGTCATTGTGGTGGTACTGACAGTTTAGTTTTATAGTTTGGAAACATAACACCACTCTTTTGACTCAGGAAAAGGTACACCATTATCTGGAGTCCAATAATTTGTCATATATGTCACCTTAGAGTAGATCATATCTTTAGGGAGCATAATTTTCAACCAAATTTTGAAATTTGACTTTAGTACAGCTTAGAAACATTCCTCTATATTTTTGATCCTGAAAAGTTACATTGGAGTCTAATAAATATAGATTAAATTTTACCTACAATGAGTATGCCACCTCGGCGTACGGTCACTGAACACAAAAACAATTTTCAGAATTTTGATGATTAGACTTACCTTGTGAATTACCAGTATTATTTTTTCATGTGAAATTTAGCTTTGCAAGACTTCATTGGCATTTACTCATTTTTGCCACGTCCATTTGTTAATTCCGAAAGGAAGGTTTTTGAACAAATCTGTAGGAGTTGTCCCCATTTATGCTGAGCACTCTACACTGACCCCAGCACCCCGATAGCTGATAGTTTGAATTGGATATTTTTGTTGAGTATGTTACGTCGAATTTTATTCTCCAGGCACAATGAAAATGTTATCCTAAAAAGATTCTGTTGATGTTTTCAGTTGGCAGAGGAGCGAATAAGCAACATGCGGACTGTCCGAGCCTTTGGGAAAGAGCTATCTGAAGTCAACACATACACGCAGAAGACAGATCAGGTCCTCACACTGGCCAGGAGGGAGGCCGTGCTACGTGCCGCCTTCTTTGGAGTGGTAAGAAAAGCAGAAAGAAAGCCCAAAACAATCCCTACTGACAATACTACGAAATGTCTTACATGTGACTTTCCCTACTATGAAGATATGAGAATACAGTATCATCAATCATCACATTCACCCTTCGTCACATTTTTTCATATATTAAACAGGGGTGCATGTAAATGGTGATCATGTGCATCGAAAATATTCATGGCTGCACTGAATTCAATGGTGTCCGTGTGGATTTGCGTATCAAGCATATTGCAGCTCAGTCGGGGTGACTGCGGTCAGGCCAGCCTCCAATCGAAAAGTCAAAGCCAAGTCAGCCGCTACGACGACTGTTTCTGAGGGACAACTTCAAAAATAAAACCCTAATGAAGTGCTGATGTCCATGTAAAATATTACTTGTTTAGCGTTACAATGTTTTGGGGGGAGGGGGGGTTCTCATCAATTATACTCATACCAGTAAAATAATTGATATTCAAAATGAAATTCACTGAGCTATGTCTTTCCTCTTAATGATAAAATTACCTGAAAAGGACCGGTGAATGACTTGTCACTCTCACACTACTGAGGCTTCTGGTGCATATTCTGAATGGATATCAAACAAGAATGTGTACGTGTTGGTGTGTTTCAGACTGGTCTGAGTGGTAACATCATGATCCTGTCCGTGTTGTACAAAGGAGGCCTTCTGATGGCGAGCCAGCACATGACTGTTGGAGAACTCTCCTCATTCCTCATGTACACCTTCTGGGTTGGCATCAGCATTGCAGGTAGCACATGTTTACACATTATGCACGTTACGCGCTATTCCTGCAAGTAGTCACGTATTATTCTATGTGGCAGGTTTGAGTACTTTCTACTCAGAGCTTATGAAGGGCTTCGGTGCAGGAGCAAGACTCTGGGAGTTGCTGGACAGAAAACCCGAGTTCCCTCTTAATGGTCAGTATGCGCATGCATGAGTGGGAAGTGTTGGTGTCATCAAAGACTCCTGAATGATCAAACGAAAATTGGACAGTCTCATAGAAGTTAACAGGGGAATGTCTTTATTGTCGAACTATTGTCTCAAGTCTTTATGTTAATGGCACATCAAAGTAGGCTTCGCATTAGAAAAGCAAGATGAGTTCCACTGGGCTATGGGAAGTTGTATGTTTCTGAGGGATTTACACATTTATTGAAAGAGATACTTTGACCCCCATGGCCTTTTAAGGCCTGTTACAATCCCGCAAAATCAAGTGGGAAAGAAAACTCACTTCTTTAATCTTCACCCTACTCAGAAGGCCAAGTACTTCCTCCAGAGCAACTGAAGGGCCGCTTGGAGTTCTGCGACGTCTCCTTTTCCTACCCGACCCGCAAAGATGCTCCTATCTTCCGTAACCTCAGTCTTCTGGTACCAGCTGGAACAGTCATGGCTGTAGTGGGACCAAGCGGATCTGGAAAATCAACGCTGGTATCGCTGCTCCTCAGGCTGTATGACTGTGACTCAGGTAAGACTTAGTTGTTTTCCTCTGTTCGAAGGAGAAGGTGCTGGTTGTAGACTCAGTCTTCACCTCTCCTACAGGCTTCGTCACCGTGGACGGCCATGACATCAGGGACTTGAATCCTTACTGGCTCAGAAGTCACATTGGAACTGTCAGCCAGGTAGAAGTACAGTTCACAGAGCATGCTTTCCAGAGAAGGCCATCACGGTTCTCACAAGTTCTCACTTCTTGTTTCTCAGGAGCCAGTGCTGTTCTCCTGTTCTATTCGAGACAACATAGCATACGGCGCGACAGAACCGGATGCCGTCACCACAGAGGACATCTACAGGGCAGCCCGAGTAGCCAACGCATATGATTTCATCCAGGCTTTTCCCAAAGGCTTTGATACTGTGGTGGGGGAGAAAGGAGTGCTGCTGTCAGGTGAGGATCAGCTGTGGCTCAATGACTGCTGCTACAAGGACTCTTGTACATGCACTCAGCTGGCCTTGAAATGTTCTGTGGATGAGTTGTTAGTACGTCTTCCTCACAACTCTGAGGTTGTGGGTTTTGAATCTCAGCTTTGACCTTCCGAAGTGGAATTTGCACTTTTCTCCAGCTACTCCAGCTTCGTCCTACATTCCACGTTCAAAAAAACCTGCTTAATTTAAATTCACTGAAGAATCTAAATTGTCCATAGGTCTAAATGCCAATGTTGTTGCCTATATGTGCTGCAACCTTTCCTGGGTATACAGGTCAAGTCACATTTATTTATATAGCCCTTAATCACAAACAGTCTCAAAGGGCTTCACGTGTATTCAAGACAACCCTGACCTTAACCCTCAGGAGGGCAAGGGAAAAAAAAGAGAAACCTTGACAAGGGGCTGCAGATGTGCATTAACTCTAATAATAAATGAAGACAAAATGAATATTGTAGATTTTACCCAATGGGATAAAGGTTAATGAAACTGTAATTTACTAAATTCTCCAGCAGGTTGGGGACTACAATGCTAATTTTGCTTGCACCCATCAACACATTGAAATGTGAAAAATGATGTCCACACTCCATATTGGTTTTCTAAGATCACAAATAGGTGGCCTTTCACCTACATGCAAACTGCAATATAGTTTAATAGAAACAGAATGTGAGGAAATCTCCTTCCTCTTGGGTGAATGACGATTTTGTGTTTGTGTCCCAGGTGGTCAGAAGCAGAGGATAGCAATTGCAAGAGCTCTTCTGAAGGTCGGTGAAGCGCCTTAATTGTTTTCTGGCTAACCATTCTAAATTTGCATGCATTGATCAACCTCACAAAAGCAACGAATATGTTGCAGAATCGTTCCTCCTGACATTAAACTACGGTAGTGCTTTTCTGTAAAAAGTGCTTTGGTGTCAACATTTATGGGTGGAATCTTAAAGCTCTGCCCATTCAACTTGTACTTTTTCTTCATCAGAATCCCAAGATCCTGCTTTTGGATGAGGCCACCAGGTACGACGCCATAAGGACAGCCTGTTGTGACATATTATTTGCCATACAATTGGCTTGAATGGATTATTTTATTCTCTATTCCTTTGTTGCATTTACTAGTTGTATAATGTCCCATTCTCAGTGCACTGGATGCCGAGAACGAGTTCCTGGTGCAGGAGGCTTTGGAGCGGCTCATGGAAGGTGGATGCCTTTTCTGTCTCTATATTATTCTATTTTATATTTTTATTATATTTGATATTTTGTCATTTGACCTTAAAACAAATGTTTCAAAATAAAACATGCACAACGTACTGTAGTTTTTCTGCTGTTCCATTGATGACCCCTGATCAGCTGCTTTAGTTGTTGATCATATTGTATGAGTAAACTGGCGAGGACAGACACCTCATTAGCGTTGAGCTGTTACTGATTTTACTGTTAGTGATTTTTCAAATGTGAAATTCCTGTCCTGACTTAGTAAAGAATGGGAAGGATTTAATGTAGAACTCTTTTTGACTTCTTCCATATTTCCTTCCCATCCACAGGGAGAACGGTCGTCATTATCGCTCACCGCCTCTCCACCATCCAGAACGCCAATGCCGTCGCGGTTCTGGACCAGCATCGTGTGGCTGAATGCGGCCAGCACACAGAGCTGCTGGGAAACAGACAGGGACTGTTCCGAAAACTGATGGAGAAACAAGCTTTTCTTCAGGAGGAACAGAAACGGGCCCTGAGTTAATCCTCGTCAAAGGGATGATAAAAGAGAAAAATGAGGGGCGATGAATGGCTTGGGTGAACTCTAACAACCCTTTCGCCAAGTGACGATGCTGTCAAAAGAATCTGAACGAGTACTGACTGTTTACTACCTTAACTTTAGCAGTAAAATGTTATTCCCCACTGGAGGAATAAAATTCTAAGACACACTATTCGAATTGGAGACACCCGTGGTTTTAAAACACTGTCATTGTGGATTCATAATTCAGTTATATTACACGTAAATGGGTGTATGAGCTGTGCAAATAATACACTTTTTTTTAAATACCAGAGGCATGCTGTAATCTTACAGCACACTAATTTCTAAACCAAAAAAAAAAAAAAAAAAGAAAAAAACTAAATAGCAAGACACGTTAAGTACTGCTAGTCATTTATTTATGTTCTCTGTGTCTGTTTTGGTGGACGATTCAACTTGAAGCTCACACGCAGAGCCTTTTTAGAGTTTATAGTGAAATGAAGCAGCTATATAGTGTTGGAGTGAGGGGGGGAAAAAAGAAGCAAAAACACTTTTTTTAAAAAATGAACATCTTTGATCGTCTAACACATGCTTGTCTCCTAAAATAATTCTAAGTCCGTATTATTACACAAGTGCTATCTGAATTTGTACTGAGATGCACTTATTGAGATTTGATATTTAGCAACAGTAATTTACTTATTTAGGAAGTTTGAGTTGTAATTTTACTAGTGACTTATTTTGCACGTATATTGATGCTAGTTATGATTTGGTACAAAATACGATGGAACCTCCGAGGTCAGACACGATCCATTTCAGGGTCAAACTTTCAGCATCATCAAAACTTTACCTGTGTAGTCCATGGTTTTTGAAGTAAGGCCGGGCTGCACACAAGATCGAATGGCCCTAAACTGTTGCGCAGAGTGCATTGTTCTAAAACTACTTTTCTTTCGTGGCCACAAGCTTTGCTGTGATTCAAAATTTGAGTCACGGGTTAACAGCATACCGTAGTCACATGAGCTTTCACCACAAATGTTTCTGTATCTCAAGACAGAGCAAAGGCCTGCACAGTGTAGTATAATACTCTGTTTTCAATAACACAGTATAATAACTATATTTATCATTTTCTTGTGTGCCTGGGGAAGAGTTTCTGACGCAAGTGCAGTGAATGAATTGTGGGTGGTCATTGTGTAGTGGAAATTCAAAAGGGCCTCAAATATTCCCACACTCTTCTTTATTTCTTGACTGCCAACGCAATCCACTTCTTCCTTGACAATCGAGACGTCTTGCTTGTGTTTCAATAAGACAATAACATTTGGTGTCTCAGAATATTGTTTCCCAATAAGAACACCAGGGTTGCAGTTGTTCCATATCAACAAGTTGTTTTTTTGCATCACGAATTGTATTCTGTCCATAATCGTTCAGTCACATTCTACCATGTAGCTGAGTGTGTGGCGGGCTGAACATTCTTAACTGTCATCCATACAAATATAAAGAATTGAACCAATGCATTATTGTAAAAGTTATAGTGACGGTTGGATGACGTGACTGGTGAATCAAGGAATTTCAGAAGTTAAGTCTACTTCCTGATTCTTGACAATTCATAACTGTCATACAAGGGTAGGACAAAAACGTCTGCTGCTTTCGAAAATTACAACACCAAAAAGGAAAAGAAAAACACCTATAAAATGCATCCAATCAGTGTTCACTTAGCTCAAGTTTCAACATTGGTTAATTTTCTTAGTTTTTGTGCAAGTAGAGGCTTTTTTTCACAAAAGTTGTAGGACCTTCAGGAATGTTTGACCATGGATGTTTTATGCATATTAAATTACAATTACTTGTACTCTTTACCTTTTAGTTGTTAGTTGCAGGCTTACACTTGGAGTTTTGTAGCGCAAAAACACTTCATATATTATGGAAAAAATTGTTTTCTTATATTTCAGATCCAAACATGATTCCCTTTAAGAATATACATTTTTAACAAGCTTTATTTCCCCGGTGTCTTCTTCCCAGCACATGACAATCATACTAACTTGAGTTAACAGCAATTCTTCTGACTAAATATTTTGCATGTACATGCGCATATGATGACTGTGTGTGTGTGTGTGGGGGCGGGGGGATTCCATACTGATTAATATGTAGCTAATAGAAAATGTTACATTAATCGCTTCGAACTCAAATTTCAGGGTTAACTGATATAAATGATCTCAATCTGTCACATGCTCAGTCTTGGTCTGGGGTGATTATTATGTACAATATTGTATAGAGAGGTTTAAGTCTAAATATGTTTCCTTATTTTGAAGGGCTTTACTTTTCCAATTTTCTTTGCCAAATGACTTTAAATGTTTAATATACAACACCTCGATGAACAATTTTCCTTTATGTTCTTTAACCACGTGACTACAACGATCAGACAGCAAAATGGACAGTGGAGGAACATTTTTGATATTTATTATTTTATATCTTAAAGTCATCAGCTGCTCAGATCTATTGTGATACCAGAAAATTCACTTATGGATTATGATTTCAAATTACAACTTGATTCTAACAACAGAAGATTAGCCTCACTTTCATGTTGACGGTGCTCGAAAAGATGATAAATGTTTGTATATGTGTATCATGGTTTTCAAAATGATCTAGGGTACATTTCAAATCATGTTTTGCTAAATTATTATAGTTTTGTGAAAAAGAATAAAGTGGAATATGTCTACATTTGAAGGCTCTGTGTCAGTTTTTAATGGGAGTGCTCTTGCGTAAATATGTGCAGTACATCAGCTTGTCACCTGGTGGAGTTCTTGCTCTAACCCAAGTCTGATGAATTCAAATGACTGTTTTCAGGTCGGTGTTGACAGAGCACTTCTCATCTTAGTTGGGTGTGCTACAGTAGAGTCAATGTAAAGTTTGCCGGATGAGGTTGGCATGTTTGTGATTCAGTGACAGACACCTTTGATTCCCTATCCAGCTGCATGTGCTGCACCTCCTCATTTTTGCGTTACATACACCCTGACCTATAAAGGCAACAACCAGTATCTTAATATTAATAGTTATTTAAGAAGAAAGACTTTCATCCAGCCCACCGTGCAATCCTAAGAACAATTGAGGAACTGTTACATTTTTATTTGTACATTTAGTATAGCCTTGGAGGACTCTACAAATAATATTGTGCAAAGTTATTTCACTGATTCAATTCAGAAAGTGAAACTCTGGACAACAGATTGACTACACAAAAGCGTAAAATATTTCATTATTTTATTTTTTTATTATTTTGATGATTATATTTTATGGGCTTAACAAAACCCCAGCTTCATCATCTCAAGTTATTACAATATTATATAGATTATCACAATTAGATTCAATATAGAAGTCTGGTAGGAACTGGCCTTCTGAAAAATATTTTCATGCATTTAATTTATACAGTATATGATGTTTAAAAAAAGAAATAAATAAATAAAAATTTTAGACATAGTATTTAACTTAATCATATATTTTCATCTGTACCTGTGGCTAGAAAGCAAAGTGTGGAGTGTTTGTGTCACTGATCCGAACAAATGCAGTCTGCAACAGTATCTTAAAATATTCGCACTCTCTTCTTATCCTCGCCGTTTTTTTTTTTTTTTTTTGGAGGGGGAGGGCGGCATCTGCTTCTCCCTTGACAATCGTGCCATGGTTTTGTGGTTCAATGAAATAAATAAATAAATGCAATATGATATATTGTATGCAAAACCTGAACACTCAGAAACATCTGAAGACAAACATATGCCACACATTAAAGTAAAAGGTTTGGTGGCAACAAATCTTGGCTGAAATATGAATTTTAAAACATTTTATGCGTGTTAAACCTCCCGACAGTTTGCCTCACCCTTGCCTGGAGAATGTTCTCCCCCCGATATGCTACCCCTCCTACAATCTAACTGCTTACAAAGTAGAGCGTCGCTCCGGTGCCCCTAACAAGTGTTTGACTCCTCCTGCACTCTCTCTCTGTGTCCGCATGAGTTAACAGGGTAACAAACCTCACAAAAACATCCATTAAGTCCGTCAGCTGGCAACATCACATATCCACTGACACACAACACTTCTTCTCCCTGACACCTGCTGCACACACACAAACACACCCTTTCACCTCCCCAGTCTGTCCCCATCCCGCCCCCTCCTGGTCTGTCTCTCCGCCCCCTCATCCCTTCTGATCTCCTCCCTCCCCTCTCTGGCTGGCCCGGCAACTGCCTGGCCGCTTACATTTTAGGCCTTTTGCAGTCGCCCGCATCAAAAATGGCACACGACCAGTGCGTTAAAGTAGCTCAGCCCTTTGCCATCCCCCTCCCACAGCACAATTATGCACACTCACTACTTTCAATGGGCACCCAAGGAGGCGTCTCCCTATTTTCACACATCCTGCTTTCCAAAAATCCTCGGGCCATTTTTTTCACCACCCTGCCCTGCCCTGTTCCGGGCCGCCTTTTTCTTAGAATATGAGTGAACAATACACCAATGACCACTTAACCATATACTTTTTCCTACATATCCACAAGTCGATTCCCTAATGAAATTATAACTCCCAAAGTCAGAACATTTAGAGTTCAACTAACATTAGCTGGAAATGTTTCAATATTGCATTTCCTTATTAGGGTTGCTGTGGAGTTGGCGCTTATCCCAGCTGACTTTGGGAGAGAGGCGGGGTACATTTTGGACTCTTGGCCAGTCAATAGCAAAGCATATACTGTATAGACAAACAGCCATTCACACTCAAATTCACAATTTTGTGTCTTCAATTAACGTAACTAATGATGGCATATGGGGAGAGTACCCAGAGAAAAATCACAAACCACAAGGAGAACAAGAAATCTCCGCATAGAAAAGCCTGAGCCAAGATTTGAACCCCAAACCTCAAAACTCTGAGGCAAATGTGCTAACCACTCAACAACCAGGCTGCCATGAATGAGTGACACAATTTTCAGTTCCATACATGTATTTGCCAGGCATTTTTCCAACAGTAAAAAGCCTGGAGCTAACAGCAAAATAACTAGCATGAGACTAACTACAGACTGACGATAAACAACGTTTATTACACATATTCTCCATCACTGGGGATGAGTAGTTGTACTTTATTTGTGTTATTTATCCATTTATTCCATTCCATTTATTGTTATAGTCTGTCTGCAAGTGTTACTGCACTGTTTGTGCTCAAATATAAGTTGTTTAAATGTTTAAAATTATGCTAAGATGCTAGTTTTGTTAGCCCGTCTATTGCATATTGCACTGTGTGTTAGCATTGATCTAGAAGACTTTTTGTAAGACAAAGTTATGTGGCCTGGTCAAGCGAACAATTTTTTAATTCTCTTTGTTTTATGTTTTTTCGGTAAACTTCAACTCGGAGTGGCAATTAATAACTTGAAGCAAGAACTGTGCTCCTTGTAAAGTTCGCTACGACCAATTTGTACATTGGGTCATCCACAAGTCAAATTACCACAAATTGAATCTGCATCAGGGTACATAATCGACAGTGAAGAACTAATTCGCTGCTTGTATAATGGCAAGGTCATGAAAAGTCAAAATATGTGCACTCCTATTACATTGCAGGCTAAAGATGCTATTGTGCTAACTATGCTGCTAACTGAATTCCAAACATACATTTGATGACATTTGAGACTTGTTGACTATTTCAGTTTCATTACAAACTGCTCATTGCTTCTATCCACTGGCTAGTTGTCTTTTCAACTCAATATCTACCAGTTTATTGTATGTGTAAACTTTTCAGGCCATGCATCTTTGATTTGATTTTAAATAGATTTTTTTCAACATTTATGAGCCAAATTTGGATAAGTCCTATATTGCTTCTGTCTACGCGCGCCCTCCCACTGTCCTAAATCCCTGGAGTTTATTTTAACCTCCTTGGCCGCTCCTCTTTCACTCCTTGTGGTCCCTCATACGGCACTCACACCTGCCAACACACATGTGTGTGCTGCATGTACACACTGTGTTCCTTTTCCAGCCTTCCTTAATGCGCGTGTGTGCGCGCGCACACACACACACACACACACACACACACACACACACACACACACACAAAACCCAAGGTGGAGTGCAGCAGCAGAGTTATAATTACTCTGCGTGCTCCTGTGATGGAGACAGATAAGGTTCCCGTCCTTATTTATTCAATTAATGTCAGACAGATTTGATGTTGCTGTCTGTGGCCATTATTGAGGATTGAGTATTCAAAGATTATAACGAGCACACACTCCTATGAGGGAACACTGTAAAATTACAGCATTTATCTAGAGATTTCTGATAAACAATTAGTAGCGGTATATCTTTTTTTAAGTCATTTTTTGAAGGACCACGGTCGTAAAAAACAAAATTTTAATATAAAGGAGAAATATTGCATTTACACAACATACCAAATGCACAGTCAACACCAGTAACAACAAGCAATTACAAGCGAATAAGTGCAATTTGAAACATTTCTGTCTTTTATATCATAACTTGATATGACGAATGATGGTTGTTTTTTAACCCATTGGACTGACCTTCCAGTCATTTAGGCTGGGGCCTAAATGTGTTCCGATGAGGGCAGCATTTTCCCATTTTAAGGCTGCATGAGGCCTACTAGCAGCAGGTCTCTAACCCTGCTTGGTAGCAACTGGCATCTCCCCCTGGAAACCCCACCCCGCCAGCACCACCCGCACCCCCAGGGGTCCGTGTGCTCCTTATACGGCCCTCAGGAGTGCCCGTGAGCCTCTACGGGAGGTCAAAGTGACAGTTCCAAATATGGCAGGCGTTCCTCGATGTCGCGGGGGACGCACCACCCTGTCACTCATGAGCCTCCTGAAACCTGATGGATGGCCGTCACAGACTCGACACCCCTCCACCAACTCCCCCTCACTAACCCCCATTCCCTGGCAGCATCCAAATATGGCAGAGGGCCGGGATGGTTACCTTCGTGAATGGTCAAGGTTGTGTATATAAGCCGACCTGGCAGCAGGGAGGACCGTAGCTGGTTCAGCAGCAGCACTGGTTGGGTCATTCTCGCCGAGCCGCAGACACTCTCCTAAGGTAAGATGCTAACGCCAGGACTCCTGGGGCCACACATCCGGGATGGGGGACACACTTTGGACAGAACCACTCTGGAACAAACAGTACAGGGAAAGGAAAATTGAATGTACATGTATTGTATAATCTGGTTTTAAAGAATAATTACATCTAGTAGTGGTGACCTCTGTTGGGGCCAACTTATTGAAACAGTTGATTATGTTTCGACAGTATGAGCCCATTCACCATTCAACAAGACTGCAACTAGGCTTACAGTCATAGATGTTGACATACAGTTTATATTTTGATGTTTTAATAAATATAGACCCTGTGAATTACTGGCAAACAGTCAGAGAGTTGGATTTCACTCAAAGTCAGCGAGAATAGGCTCCATCTCTCTGCAACCCTGAACCTGATAGAAAATGAATGGATGGATAATTAGTCAATTTAGCAATATTCAAAGATGACGTTAGACATCCCACTGTAAACTTTCTCAAAACATGTAGTGTGTTGGTTTAGTTTTCGCAATCTATACAGAGCAAAAATAAAATGTCTGAGGGTTATTTTTAATGTAAATGTATTTACACCCTTTTTTTCACGGTTAAAGGCCAAAAAGAAGATAATATTTCTTTTGTTAGCATCACCTATCTATCAACTAATAATGGTAATATTTATAGCAATAATAACACATCAGATTTATATTGCGCTTTTCTGGATACTCAATGTAGTGTCAAATGTTATTGGGCAAGAAAGTACATTTTCTGTTTAAATGGCATTTGCTCAGTTTTGGCTAAAACGGTGTCGACTTAGTTTCAAAATGGATTAACACTCTTGTCTTTTCTCATATAGTTCAAAGCCAAAAGTATGATATTGGCTCCACTCAATAAAAGCAATAGGTCTCTCCAGTGCCAAATGTCATTCGGCAATAAAGTCAGTGTTTTCAGATATGAAATTCCACTTTTATCCTTAAAAATCTAAAAACATTGCAATGTTATCATAGACATAATGTTGTATTATCACTGTAATCATTGTTTCTATTTTGATGTGCATGTCATGCATACTGTGTTCAATAGTTTGTAGTGGATAATTTAGTGATATATTGTAGCTAATGACTTTTGTAATGGTTTTACACTTTAGAGCATTAATCCAAACAAAACTTGCCTAAACTGGCTGTTATTACTTTCACAAATAACGCCAATGTGTTTCAGTGTTAAAACTTGCCTTAATCTCCGTGTTTCGCCCGCAGAAACCAACATGTGTGACGACGATGAGACTACCGCCCTTGTGTGCGACAACGGCTCCGGCCTGGTGAAGGCTGGCTTCGCCGGAGACGATGCCCCCAGGGCCGTGTTCCCCTCCATCGTGGGCCGTCCTCGTCACCAGGTAAGCAGCCACCATATCCCACAGATTTATACTATAGTAAACCGTTTAAGAAAAGGGGCATAATAACTCATAATAATCTCGGATATATTGCGATTTAGAGAAAGTGCCGTTAATTGGACACGCCTCCCTTAAAAAAAAAAAAAATAAATAATTGAACATGTGACTTAGCCCAGCCAATCAGGAACGAAAGAAAAATCAAACCAATTAAATACAGGTGTGTTATATACAGTAGTATGTCATATTTTATCTACAGTATACTGAATATAAAATAACATTTTTTTCATCAATTTTGATATGTTAAATGCACTTGTAATACAGAACAATATACCCCCGCCCCCCATTTAACACAACACTGTCCATACAGAAACGTCGGTTCAGTTTGAGTGACGTATAGGGAAAAAATCAATCTTTATTTATTTACTTTTTTGGGGGGGGGAGCATAGGTTTTAATGTGCTATTTTGTTCTGTAATGTGAGGCCTGCTGGGTGTTAAATCATGTCATCTTTTCTTTCACCACTGTGGTATTTGCCACCTTGAGATAAAATTAGTCCCAGATGAAGTGACCTGCGTCGTTATTTGGCAGCTTTGTGCAATGATCACCATGCACACCAGTGAGAGTAATCCATGAAGAGCAAGGCCATTCTGTTTTCAGACCCCGTGCAGGTGTATGTTTTCCTCACCCATTTTTTTCCGCCCTTCAGGGTGTCATGGTCGGTATGGGTCAGAAGGACTCCTACGTCAGCGATGAGGCCCAAAGCAAGAGAGGTATCCTGACCCTCAAGTACCCCATCGAGCACGGGATCATCACCAACTGGGACGACATGGAGAAGATCTGGCACCACACCTTCTACAACGAGCTGAGAGTGGCCCCCGAGGAGCACCCCACCCTGCTCACTGAGGCCCCCCTTAACCCCAAGGCCAACAGGGAGAAGATGACCCAGATCATGTTTGAGACCTTCAACGTCCCTGCCATGTATGTGGCCATCCAGGCTGTGCTGTCCCTCTACGCCTCCGGCCGTACCACCGGTGAGGAGACAATATACATAATGCAGAAAACACAACAATCTACTGATTAGTAGATGAATATATTTATTTTCGCAACATGTACAACAATAAGCCGCTGTTTAATCAGGGCATTTTACGCCTGACTTTTACACTCAGTGTTCCGTGAATTGCATATATTCTATACACAGTCAAGAACATTTGTAAAACGCTATACACTTGTATTTTATTGCACATGTTGCATTAATCATTTTACGCGCAGTTTTTACGCACGACTTTTACGCATGTGTTCCGTGACTCACGCCTACGTCATACGGATTCATTCAAGTGTCCCATTATCTAAACACCTTGCATTCTCTACCTCCTCCCAGGTATTGTGCTGGATGCTGGTGATGGTGTGACCCACAACGTCCCCGTCTATGAGGGTTACGCTCTGCCCCACGCCATCATGCGTCTGGACTTGGCCGGTCGCGATCTGACCGACTACCTGATGAAGATCCTGACCGAGCGTGGCTACTCTTTCGTCACCACCGGTGAGTAGCGATTAAAACAAAGAGGGGAAAAAAAGACACAAATCGTGCCAGGGATTACAATTGGTGAACAATTTAAGTGTGAATCAAAAACTCCAATTTGCCCACTGCACAGCTGAGCGTGAGATCGTGCGTGACATCAAGGAGAAGCTGTGCTACGTGGCTCTGGACTTCGAGAACGAGATGGCCACCGCCGCCTCCTCCTCTTCCCTGGAGAAGAGCTACGAGCTTCCCGACGGTCAGGTCATCACCATCGGTAACGAGAGGTTCCGTTGCCCCGAGACCCTGTTCCAGCCTTCCTTCATTGGTGCGTTGTTTGTCCCCCTACCCCGCACTTTCATTGCGCATTCTGAGAGTCCTAACAATTGCCCTCGTGACCTCCACAGGTATGGAGTCTGCCGGTATCCACGAGACCGCCTACAACAGCATCATGAAGTGCGACATTGACATCCGTAAGGACCTGTATGCCAACAATGTGCTCTCCGGTGGTACCACCATGTACCCTGGTATTGCTGACCGTATGCAGAAGGAGATCACTGCCCTGGCACCCAGCACCATGAAGATTAAGGTATATAAAATAATTAGATTTTTGGGGGAGCAGGCCAGCACAAATATATAATTTTTCTGAGAACCGTGTGATACATTTATAACAAAGAAACAAACAGAAAAAAAATTATCACGACCAAAAAAAGATATCAGCCTGTCAGCATTTGCAACTGCTCTAAATATGGTGCTAAAAAGTAATGGGAAGACTAAATACTTATTAAATATAGATTAAGCACAAATGTATTTGAAAGGTACTTACAACTGAGCTTCACAGCAATTTAAAAAATGTACGGTACAAAATACACAAAAATGCTGCACATAAAAAATAAAAATGTTTCAAAAAAATGTACTGTACCAGACAGGGTCTAGGGCTGTAGCTACAAGCGTCATTCCTTAGTTTGATAATGTTTTAGATTCTAAATGTATTTCATTTTATTTTAATTCAGTAAATCTTTCATATACTGCATTTTAAGATTCACTTTACCAGACAATTCCTGCTCTGTACTCCAAGAACAAAAGTTTATATATTTATTGTCTTCCCTTTATTAAAATGTAAAATCAGAAAGAAATAATTAGCATCTTCCGAGTGGGAAATTATGTGCCCTCAACACCCAAAGCTCGATTTAGCATCTCTTGGGGTCATACAGTATTTTTAATTATAAGCATAAATTACACCGAATTTTCCAAAAACAGCAATGACAGGTTCATGTCTAAATATCTAACGATGTGTTTGTTTCAGTCCATTAAGAAAACAAGTTTTGGTTTGATTACAAAAGGAAAAAGAGCACCCTCTTGTGGGGAATCGCCTCCAGTTTGGTGTCCCTCAGGGTCGTCTTCATTATTTTAGGCATTAATTACTCATCATTTAGATGAATAATAATGAATTCCTTTACATGTTATTATGTGGAAGATTATTTATGCACAGAGGGCCCCATACAGACACTTACCAGATTTGGGGATTTGGGACCCTGTGGAAAAAAAATGACACTTTGGGCCCCACCATTTCTAGGCCGTAAACTCGAGGATTCTGATGAACGTTTGTTGCTAACCTGTTACTGACCGACTCTCTCCCACTTTTTCCTTCACCCAGATCATTGCTCCCCCTGAGAGGAAGTACTCCGTCTGGATTGGTGGCTCCATCCTGGCTTCCCTGTCCACCTTCCAGCAGATGTGGATCTCCAAGCAGGAGTACGACGAGGCAGGCCCCAGCATTGTCCACAGGAAGTGCTTCTAAATCCCTCGTCTGCACCAGCTTTGTGGAATTCGAGCAAGAAAAAGAAGCAGGAGAACCAACCTTTGCGGCACTGCAACACTCTGCTGTCAATGGACTGTCTGTCTGTGCTGGTGACCTTCTTAACTATGCATTGTTTCAACAAATGTGCATATTGTGTAGCTGTCTGTTGCCTGTGTTGTACGAAGAAAGGCTGTGAAAACACCACTGAACCATGCATCCAACCCAAAAAAACTTTAATAAAAAAATAACAACAACTACATGTTTCCCAACACATGTGAATGTAAGTGTATATACATATTAATAATTTATTAAAGTCCATTATTTGGTACTTTTGACCCTGCTTTATTATTTTTCTAATAGATGACAAGCCAAACTAAATGATCGTAATAATTGCAATGTAGCCAAAGGGTTAAAAAAAAAAAAAATCATAGACTGACATGACAAATTGAGCAAAATGTTCACCAAGGGGTCAAACAGAATTGACAAACTGTAAACATGTAAGGTATTTGTCTGATGAAGGGATCATAGGGTCTCATCTATCCTCTGGGAGGAGAGGGCCTCTCTCTCCCTTTACCATTGACCACTACGATTGGGTTGCAGATTCCAGTGAAAGAGGAGATACTGCATTGCTTCCGAGTCTGACTTGCCAGGAATGTGCCCTGACAGCAGAAGCATGGGCAGCTCCGTTTTGGGCCCTGACAAGATGACGGACACTCGACACCTTGAGTCCTGTACTACGCTGTGAGCGGACCCAGGCCATCTTTAGGCAAAACGTGAACCCGCAGTGTACAGCGGCAGCACCATCCAAATTGCCTTAAAGCACACGACCATAGCCACAGGTTTGAGTGGATGGATTCAATAATCTTGGTCATCCTCAGTACATTCATGGTAAATTAGCAATTTTCACTTGAATTGGCCTGAAAAGTACTCGTTTACTATGAATAATATATCTTTGGTCACCAAGCTATGCCAGTGACGTGTAGTGACAAGCAGAACAATTAAATGCTCTGACACAAGATGACAGAAGGTACAGTTAATCTGTGTATCCACTTGTTGATAATAGGGTCATAATAGTTTTTGATTTTTAAAAATTGTATTTAGTTTTTCGATCGTTTTTTTTTTTTTAATTCAAGTCATTCTGATTAGGTTTTTGGAGGAGGTTTGCTAGTTTTCTTTTTTTTAAATCTTTCCTTACAAAAATAATTAAGATTTACAGCCACTATGTATGCACTGTACAGATTCGGGACAAGAACTGCCTTGTGTTCTGTCACAGGCGGCAGTTAGGTGGCAGTTTTTTTCTATTTTTGTATTTGCATTAATTGCGAGCAACAAACCAAAGTGTTGTATGTAATCACTGTAAACCTCTGTGCTTATACAGTACTACTTTATTTATACCTCATCCACTACAAATCATTATCGCTGCTCTGGCCGTATGCATCGTTGACTGCGACACCTCCGCCACCTGTTGCCCGGGATGTGTTTGGCTTTTTAAAGAGACATCTCTGACTGGGCGGTGCTAAAGAGGAGCATTACAAACAGGCGGCTCCGACATGAACGCCATTTGTCCCTTGCTTCCGTGAAACCCGAGCCTAGTGTAAGTATAACTAACTGTGCACCGATTTAGAGTCTTAGCCAGCCGGGGGGGTTCTACTGTAACGTTGTCTGGTGCTACCAGAAAAATGTACAGTCTTAACTAGACTGACAGCTAGCATCATGTCTACGTAAGTGGTCAGGTGATTATATGCGCTGAGGTTTCTATATATAGCACGGACATCCATTTTAGTTGATTCTTGGAGATATCGTTTTCTAAAGGCACAGATAATATTAATTTCTTACTTATTTACATTAATAACACCGTTATTCTCTCTGGTTTTACCTGGGAAAATGTTAGACTGCTGATTTCAATGTAAAGAACTGTATTAAGATACTGTACTGTAATTCTTTGACAGCCATTTAAATCTCTGTACCCAATAAAGGAGGCGGCCGGGACGTCATTCGATCGCGACGCATCGTCTCAAATCTGATTGGTTCTTTTTCTTAATTTACAATAATTATAATATTATATAATATTATATTCATGCAAAATATTATTTCTGTTATTATTTTTAAGGCTAAGAGTGATTTTCCTTTTTTTCCCCATACTGACAGCAATGTAAATCCAGTCAAAGGCGAAAGTGGGCGGAGTCTGGAGCTAAGGCTGCTTCGCCATTGGTTGAAACCTTCCCATCTGTTTTGGTTTAAATAAACGACGGTGAAGCCCATCTTAACGAAAGTAGTAATAATAATAAGAGCTCTGCTTTCCATTTTACCGTAGGAATTTACACAGCAGCAACAACAATGTTTTCTTAGACTCGTGTGATTTATTGCTCGACTGTCTATTGACGAAGGGAAGAAGATGGTGACCAAAAGGATCCGCTCGGAGTACATGAAGAAATTTAAAGACCCCAAATGGGAGACTTACTCGAAATGTTATGAGGAGAGGCTGAAGTACAGGTTGGCTCGAAGACTTCTGGAGCAATCGCACAACCCCTGGTTCTGGAGTGGATCCGACAGCGACTCGGATTCAGTTGGAGGAAATTCACCTCAGGCCGACAGGAGCCAAGCTCAGCGTTGTGAGAAAGGTGATGAGCCTGCAGGGGCCGAGCTGGAGGAGTGCCAGGGGGCCAAGGTTGATGTACTAAGTCTTCCCGTCCTGGAGCAGGAGGAACAAAGTAAATTTGGGATTAAAACCTCCAAAGTGTGATATATAGTTGCTATCTCTAAATGATTTCTCTTTGCTGTTAGATTACCATTCTCAAGGGGCAGAACAGAGTGTCAGTAAACACAAAAGTGTTACTCAACGGGAACCACAAGCAGGTATTGAAAGAAGTCACATTCTCATCCTTGACCTACACAAGATAATCAGATCCAAAAGAAGAAGAAAAAAATACTTTACAAAGATAATGCAGATTGAGACTTATGAGGTATAATAATATTTTTATTTTTATGCTTGTGATTTGTAATGTTACTGATATTTCAGGCTTTTCTTGTTGCTAACTAACTGAACCAAACTACTACAGTTTACATGTGATTCAGTGCAGTTTTACATCACTGCAAACTGCCAATACAGTAAAAAATATAAAGAATTTAAGTGATACACATCGTGTATTGAATTTCATTAGATGGCACAGTTGTTCCTGTTATTGGTGTGTGTTCCAGTAAGTTAAATATAGTTTGAATGGTATTAGAGCAGTGGTTCTTAACCTTATTAGAGGTACCGGACCCAAACAGTTCATATGCACATTCATGGAACCCTTCGTTAGTGAAAAATAAAAATTCAAAAAGTGTTCATTCAGTTTTGCCAGTGCGACACTAAAGTTGGTCAACTTGGCATGACAAATCATGCAGATAGGATGCTAAGTCCCATCACGTTCCGTGATGCATGTGGTACATATTCGTCCGATCACTTTGTTGGGTTTTTTTTTTGTTTTATTTGCTCGACATAGCATGTATTAAAACATTCTAAAAAAAAAAAAAATCACACGACGTACTATCACGACAGTCACACGTTGATTACTGAGTGAACTAAATTTTCTCGCAGCACTGACTGGACAAAAAAAAAATGTACAAGCACTTTTATACTTGTGTGACTTTGGATGTTCTGGGCTGTTTCTGTATGTTTAGTGTTTCATCCTGAAAAAGATCCTGCAGCTCGAGCGGCACAGCAGACAACGCCACAGAGGCTTCCCAAATTTAAGTGTGTCCAGCGGGTTAAAAAAACAGCAGTGGTGCGGCCTCCAAATGATGACAGCAAACATCCTTTTGCGCTGTATGCTTCTGGTGAGAAGGATGCCGATGTTGCCGGCAGAAAGACACACAACGTTCGACCTGCTTGTTCGACCAATGAGGTAATGCATTTTTTTTGGTGGGGGGAACATCCTTGATATTCATGTAAAGGTCAATGTACCATTGTACTTTTTGACGTCACTAGTAGGACAAATAATCTATTCAGGAAAATTATCACATTTTCCATTAATTCCCGATAGCCAACCCACTCCTAGCTGGATGTTAACTACTAGGTGTAGTGGTGAAGCGCTAAATGTTAACTTCAAGATAGTATGTTTCCTAGTGTACTTATATATCTGTATGCTACTAATGACGTGCTAAATTTGAACCGGTAGCACTAGATATTAACTCTTAGTTCACATGTAATGATTCACTAGTAGTACAAATAGTGCACATAATATAGTAGTAATGTACTACTGTTCCCGCATTGTTCTACAAGTGTGCTAACTTGTCCTACTGGTCAAAACAAAGAGCATACTGGTACATGAAGGACCTTAATTAAAGTCAACGTTCAAAAGACTATATATTACAAAGGACCTAGAGCCAGACCCCTTTCTGTTGCTTGTAGATACATGCATCAGCTCTGAGGGCAAAGTCCAGACGGGAAGTAGAGCGACAGGTCCAGGCCCAGCGATGCGAGCGTCGCCGAGCCAAGTCGGCTGATTTGGACCAAGCCAGAAAGAGGGTTCAGCCTGAGTTTAACCCTTGGCTCACTGAGTACATGCGTTGCTTCTCTGCTCGCTCTCGATGAAACTCACTCACTCATTCACTCACTCACTCACACACGTAACAATACTAAGCCAAACAGGTTCCATGGCTAGTAGGCCATCATTGAAAGTAGGGATGTTCGATACCAATTCTTTATTTTTTTTAATAATAATAATAATAATAATACATTTTATTTTATTTTGGGTGACCAATATCAGTTTGGGTATTAAATCTTGAGTACTCAGCAATATTACGAAGTAACAAAACTTGATACTTGATACATAACATTTCAATTTACACAATGACAGATAATTGTGAACAAAGATGGTGATTTACCCATGTGTCAAACGGCTACTGTTTAGCACCAACTACTGGCAAAGAAGACATATTTGATGCCAGATTTGCCTTAAGTATTGGTGGCTGGTATCGGCATCTTTCATAAATACCCGATACCTTGCATTCAAGCGGATTACAGCTCGATATTGATATCTAGTATCGATACTTTGGGACGGATACTCATCCATCCCAAACTGAAAGTAACATACAGTAATTCTAATAGAGATATTATTATTTTTATTTATTATTATTATTATTATTATTATGTTATTATTATTATTATTATTATTATTATATATTATATCTACATATTAAAATGAGAATTTTAAAGCCATATACAGATCCAGTCCCTTTAAAATTAGGCACATACTGTATAAGAGCAGGGCCTATTTCTTGACTACATCTATTACAAGGGGCAGCATGTGGCACAAGTGGTTATCACGCCGGTCTCATAGTTTTGAAATACAGGGTCCAAATCCCGGCTCTAGGTTTGCTGTGTAGGGTTTGCATGTTCTTCCCATGCATCGCACTTCCTCTCACATTCCTTAAACATGCTTGTTAGGTTAATGGCTGACTAAATTGTCCACAGATGTGAATACAAGTGTAAATATGTATTCGTGTTTAAGTGGCGACCAATCCTGTGTAGCTGGGTTAGCCTCGGGCTCACTTGCAAAAGTCATGAGGACAAATGCTGAAGAATAGGGATGGAGCATACTTCAAGGCTGATTATGTGACCACTAACAACACAAGGGCACAATTAGAAAGCCACTTTTTGATGCTTTTGTCATGAAATTGTGATCACCACAAAGAATGTATATCCCTTATCAAACACGTAATAAGACCATAGTTTGTGTGTTTGTGTGTTTGTGTGTGTGTGTGTGTGTGTGTGTGTGTGTGTGTGTGTGTGTGTGTGTGTGTGTGTGCGCGCGCGTGTGTGTGTTAAGACTGAGAAAGTGTCTTCCTTGCAGGTTTACATATATTACATATTGCTGTTGGAGAGAAACTGGTGTACAATTGTTGTTGAGAAGAGCATGGATACTAAGCGCCCTTTCACAACTTTTTTTCGAGGCTGTGTATGTGAGACATACCGCAGGTGTCGCAGTGGTTATCTTCAGGAGGGTTATAAATTAACCTTATTCAGATGTTTGGACCACTAAGCTCAAATTGATTAATCAGAATTGTCATTTTAACATGTGGCCAACATTGAAACTAATTCGACAATGGACATAAGCCAAATCAACTCTCATGGAAAGACACTTCGAGGGCTAATCAGCTCTGTGCCATATAATGACATTTTGTTTATATTGATGTTCAGTGAATTAAAACTAAAATTAACCTTTTTTTCTAGTTCAGTATACCAGGGTCAGGTTTTATTGTTTGTGTTCATTCTAAGTGGAATACCAGCATGATTCTGTAAATATAACTTTGAACAAAGATGTGAATTTTTGTGCAATATTAATACACTGGAAATGGTGTGAAGTCTGACAATCATTAAGAGAAATTTGAAAGTTTGTAACTCTTTTGCTTGAATTGTCGTTGATAGAAGTTCTATTCTCCATTAAACAGGTTTCGATTGGACAGTGAGGAATGTTTATTGTTATTTGAGTAGTGTATTAGAGCAACAGATATTCGGTCTGAATTGAATGGTTTGGTTTCGTCTAAGAGTTAGAGGTTTTCTTTCCTTCGTCCCCTCAGCTTTAGAACATGAATAAAATGTTATCATGATAAAAGCTGTCACAACGCACTTAAAAGTTCTTTTTTTTAAATGTCATGTTTACCTTTCAAGCTTTTAATAAACACCTTTTCCAACCATTTCCTCCTTTTTTTGTGCCCACCAAGTCATATGTTTAAAGAAAGAGGGAAACAGAATTTGCAAGTGGATCATGAATTTGTACTTTTTATTTTAAAAACATATGCTTTTCATAATGAGAGAACAGCAACATGAATAAAATATAAATTCAGGAATTGAATTGATGACAAAAATGCAAGACAACCTGATACTAGGCAGACAATGCCACGATCAGATTAATTAAACTTTACATTATAGTCTTAATTTCTAATTACTTCTCTTCATGGTGTGCTTTAAACTTTCCATAACAGGGACAATGTAAAATTAAATATAGAATGTATATCAAAATATATATAAGAGGCCATGGCTAATTCTTCAAATTAAACCTTACTATGAAGAGAGTTAAAACATAAACAGCTTTGGAGGCAAACGGAAGCCCCTCAGGCAATTTTACAACATTTTGCAAACAATTGATGAAAATTACATTTGATTGTTGTTGTTTTTTAACGACAGCAGTCGAGTCAAAAGTCATGTAAACAAGCAACACAGAAAGTGAGGGACATCTTCGTTTAAATCCTTTGGATGAAACATACTACAGTGACAGATATGTTGCTTATGATGAATAATAACAACTGCGCAATGTATTTAATTTACACACATCAGATCGGCTGTAGGATAGATTGATAAGAAGAATCTTACATTAGTGAGTGCATCTACAACCGGCGCCATCCATTTACAAAATATACAATTGGCTGTCCATCATACTGCTTGTATAAACCGTAGCTCGATATGATGAGAATACATAAGAGAGTGAAGCACACGTGGATATCTAATTAAATAATATGCCTTCATAATGAAATTGTCTTGATATTTTAAGAAAACATGCGTCAAGCTCTATATACAGTTTCAGTGTACAGTTTAGAAGATACGTTGGCAAAGGGAGGTGCAGGTGTACATGTCGGGGAGTGAGATGTAAACAGCAAGAGAGGTAATGTCACAAATACAAGTGAGCCGGTACTTACATAGATGCCAGGCGTTCTACCTCGAGGGCAAAGCACAGAGAGGGTCGCGGCAAAGTGGACGCGGTCTGGTGACCAAGGAGCTCTGCTAATGGGAGCGGCCGGCTGGGAAGGCTTCTAGGGTTCTTGGCTGGTGCGGCCATGGCGACAAACGTTCTGCGTTAAAGTCTGGGAGGTGTCACCAGAAGTGTTTTAGGGTCCCACCCGGCTGTTGATGCCTTCAATATCCCCTCTGAAACACATACATTACAAAATTAGCCACATTTATACTGCTTTCTACCCTGACCAGAGCATCCCTCAGCCCCATGTATTCAGTCAACAATCATGGTTTGATGGAAAAAATATATATATTTTATGTAAAAACATCACTGGAAAAGAAATTTTACACCTTTTATTAACTCACCAACTAGAACATATTTCCACATACAAGGGCTCCTCGGTTTGATCAAGTTTTAAGGTTATGAATGATGCACGATGAACGAGTAGTTAGTGCAACGGCGTAAGAATACTAATAATCATGTGGCACAACAAGGCTGCTTACTTACCTCTGTACTTGCCATTTTTCAAATTTGCTTCATATTGAAGGCCTAGGATTGTTTTTTTCATCCATATTCATATTTGACTAACATGTTTGCATAGGATAGTAGAATTTCGGGTTACGTCGCCGCCGTGCAGAGGAACCCCTGCACATGCTTGCATTAGAAGCAGACTACCTGTAAGCCTATTAGCAGCCACACTCCTGGGTGCCCTGTGGCTGAGCACGACGGGGGGAACGGAGCTGGCGCAGTGCAGCATCCCCGTACTGGATGCCAGATCCCATCCTCTCTGGATCCAACTCCCCTATAAAAATAAATAAATAAATAAAAAGATTAAAAAAAAGAGCAAAAGAAAGAGGAAATGAATGGATTTTCCCCCACATCCGAACGAGAAAAACTCTCAATAATCATCCCCAGTGGCAAATCAAGATCACATAGAATGATATAAAGTCAACCCTTGCCGATTTGCCATTCTTTTGTCATCCTCCGTGGAAGATGGCACAACATTAAAAAAATGTGAATAGAGTGGAAAAGTCAATTGCAGTTGAGATTTTGATTGAAGTATTATATTCTTCACCATTACAAAGTGCGCTGTGAATTCCGGCAAAGTCGACGATTTGGCAACAACAGTGAACACACCAGATAGCAGTTGAAGCGGTGGATGTCATGGCTAGATGGTAAAAAATAATCAATATAGTCACTAAGTCGCTCCGTTTTCCATCCACTTCAACTTGGCAGTCATTAATTGTTGCCGTACGTTATGGTGCATTCACGTGATCACGTAACGTAGATGCAACGGGTCAACATACAATTCTGGGGACGTGTCTTATTTATTCAGCAATTTCTGCTTTTCAAGACAGGGGTTGGTCCCTTTCCCCTTCACTGTAAATAATTACATTTTACTTTTGCACTTCAGTACATTTCAAAGTCTGTACTTCTACCACCATAGTATTTTTTTACACAAATATATATACTTCAACTTGAGTACTCTCTCTATTGAAGGGCAATTACGTGGTCGGGACAAGGTCGTTGCAAGTGTATGGTCACTGGAGGGTCACTGCAGTAATGTGAGTATTTGTGATTGGAAATGAGACTGAGAGCTCCTACCCGATTCTATCTTGTTGAGGATTTTGCGAGCGCACTGCACAAAAGCTTCTTCCACGTTCTCCCCTGTCAGAGCGCTGGTTTCCAGGAACATCAGCTCTGAAACACACAGAATGTTTGCATGAATGTAGCGCTCTCCTACTGAATATTTAATGAGCACAAGAATGTATTTCCTCTCAAAAGTTTCTTCTGTCACATCAATATACCGTTCTCCTGAGCGAAGCGTGACGCCTCCAGGAAGGTCACCTCTCTGTCAGCATCCAAATCCTTCTTGTTTCCACACAGGATGATGACGATGTTCTGACTGGCCAGCATTCGGGCATCACTCAGCCACGTGGTGAGAGCGTTGTAGGTCTCACGACTGCAGTGGGGAGCAACACATTACTCAGAGGGCAGCGATGAAGGCAGTCTCAAAATGATTTCTGACGTGTCTGAATGTCTTGAATTAAACAAGAGGGCGTTGCATCGTTACCTGGTGATGTCATAGACCAGCAGGGCTCCTGCTGCGCCTCTGTAGTAACTTCTGGTCACTGACCTTCAAAAAACAATGAACATTTAGAATACAGTCCCGTCGAAATTGGACCTAAAGCCCATGAAGACAAATGTATTATTTTATTAGATGTTGTTGCTTTGTGCTGTTTATAATTCAAATGCATTTTAGTGGCGCAAATTCCTCTTGTGTTCCAAAGTAAAATGGGTGATACATTTGCTGTGTCGCTCTTCAATCTAGATGAAGCACTGTTCAATCTAGAGCACTGTATTGTGGGTTAGTTACTAAATAATGGAAAATGCCCTACCTGAACCTTTCTTGTCCAGCTGTGTCCCAAATTTGCAGTTTGACAATTTTATTGACCACACTGATGATTTTAGAGCCAAACTCCACTCCAATGGTGTGATTTGATTCATCCTTAACTGGAAAAAAAACATTCACTCTTAAAACATAAACTCGTAATGAAGATGACAGAAGAATATATGTATTTCGTGGGTTAGCGATAAGAAAGGAGTTGCTGAAGCGGATTTAAAAGATTCATATGAAGTTGAAGATGTTATAATGATGACCTCCATATATTGCTTAATAATGTATGTATTGCCTTTCCCAGCACTTTTAAACAATAACGCAATATTGTAACAGCAGAATATGTCTAACTTACATCTCTTCTCTATAAACTGATGCAGCAAACAGGATTTGCCGGTTCCAGCATTCCCAATGACCAGGAATTTAAACAGGAAATCTAAGAAAGAAAAAAAATGCTGACAACTTTAAAATCCAACAGAAGATTAGTTGTTATGGTGTATCAATTCCTCGTGATAGCAGAAAGAAAGGAGAAAAATGTAATGCATCTGCTGTCATTTACAAAGTAAACGGCGAGTGCTTTACTCACTTTTGCGGTATAGGAGAGAGATCGTTTTTATTAAAGGCAGATTAGCAATGTCTATTGAGATTTTTTTTCTGTTTATTAGAGGTGTAACCAAAAATGATTCAAATCGGAAAATCGGTTTTGATTTGATGAACCAAAAGAAATCATTAAATTTGAAAATCATTGCATCTGTGAAACATATAAAATAGTCGATTGTGGAGAGATGCACACGGCAACTATTTATTGCTGATGACACGATGGCAGATTTTGAATTTTAGGGGTCACTGACAATTTAGTTTGCAGTTAACCAAACATGCATGTTTTTGGAATATCGGCGTAAACCACACAGGCACGCGGATCACGGTATACTCCACACAGGTGTTTGGAAAAATTTGGATAGAATAAACTTGTCGGACACACCCAGTAATTTAGTCATCATCACTCGGTGAAATTATTCACGTTAAGAACAATAATAATCCTGTAACAGCACCTGAGGTACACAGGCAAGATATTAAAAAGAGCAGAGTAATTTGTAAATAAAGATAGGAGTCACAGATATGATGACATTATTCAACAAATCAGCTTCAGATTAGTGCGTATTGCATTATGATGACGTCTTGAACTGTGACTTCTGTTGCCATGGTATTTTAAAGTCAGCATCATTTTGCCAGTGGCTAGGTTAGTATGTCAGCTAATTATTTACGATGAGGGGGGGAAACCCCCTTCGACACACCTGTCCTCTTTCCCATCGCTGAGACTACATGACGGCGTTAACTGTGGCTACTCGACAAAACGGACATCTTACCGTAAGACTCCGACATCGCCAGTTTGGCGTTTTGTAACAGTACTGATGAATCTGGACAGGATAGCAGATGGTTGACAGATGGAGAGCTAAGCTAAGTGAAGCAAAATAGTCCCGTTGATGATTTCCGCGGATTGCGACTGTGTTACTCCTCTGACTTCCCGTCCGTGTTTTGTATTTTCAAAATAAAAGCTTCATGACTCGTGAGTGACAACGGCCTTGATTGCGTCGTTTGCATGTTTTTAGTTTAAGCAAAGGACAGAATTCAAAATCTGTAGAACCTCTCTAATATGGAGCGTTAGGACTACGTTACATAATTACTTTCCGTAGGTTATGTGTTATTTGAAAATAAAACATGATGAACTGGAGTTCTGTAATATGTTTTGCTTTATTTTCCCTTTTTTTGTACATTAAAATGTATCCTAAATATATTTTAACGATTAATAGACAAATAGATATTCATTATATATGCTAATAATAATAATCGAAGTAATACAATATTTATATTTATATACTTTTTGTCTTCTACTTTCTGCCTTTCATGATTTTGCTGCTGTTAATTGTGAATTTCTCCATTGTGAGACAAATAAAGGTTTTCTTATTTTATCTTATCTAAATATAGATAATGTAAATTTTATTATTAAATCATTGGTTGGTTGGTTCATTTATTGTGGTAGTGAAAGAAAAAAAGTCTTGTGGGATGGGTTCCCACTCAGTGATGGCGTAGCTGTGGGTGTGAATGGTTGTTTGTCTCTATGTGTCTTGCCACTGACTGGCGGCCAGTTAAGGATGTAGTCTGCTTTTCACCCGAGATCAGCTGGGATAGGCTCCGGGATGCCCGCGACCCTCTTTCCATTTAGATGCCATGCATGTTTTTGGAATATGGGAGGACACTGGAGTACCTGGAGAAAACCCACACGGGCACAGGAGAACATTCAAACCCCACACAGGAAGGCCGGAGCCGGAATCGGAATCGAATCCTGCACCTCTGCACTGTGAGGCGGACATGCGAACCGATCCGCCCTAAAAGAAACCATTTCACAGATCTTACCTGCTTAACTTTTCACTACAATATATTTGCATATCATCTCAAAGAACTCTGTTTTATGTACACCCAACACATTTGGATTTAACTTTTTAGCAATACTTTTAAGAGCAAACGTTCATCCACTGCAGACTAATGCAGAACTCCAGGTCACGAGGTGGCAGTGTAGCGCAGTTCACGTACATGAACCGCCAGAAAACCCATACAAAACGAAGAGAAAACGCGGCTAGTTTTGCTAGCTTCCAGCTAGCGCAGCAGCAAGTGCTAAATAGTAAAACATGGCTGCTGTGCTCACCCCGAGACCACCGTGCGACAGCAACCCTGCTACCCCAGGATCACAGTCCCTAAAGGTAGCAGAAGTTCTTTTCAGAAAAGGCCATTTGCGGATGTCATTGTTTCGGGAGCTCTGCGTTTACATGTTAAGCTAACTGTTAATTAGCACGCTAAAGGCTGCCACTGTAAACAAAGTATGCTAGATGAATACCTTTGTTTTCATCTCATCATAACACACGTTGGCTAATGTCTATCGTTTGATTTTGATGGACAGTAGTATGTCCGTTTTGTTCTTAGATTTAGACTTTTTGAAACAGATGATGGAGTGTTATCTCACTTTCCCAAAACAAATGGCGACGTTTCCGCAATTGATACGTTGTTGCGTACCGATGCTGATGCTGTTCGTGAAGTTAGTGGTGAAATACGTCCAAGTGGTATGCCCACTGATTTTCTTAATCTGTCTATTTCGCGTGAGATGAAGTCAAACAACACTCTTCCCATTATTACATTTAAGACATTTTAGACGTTTCATATTACACCATGCTGCATGCATAAGTCATTTGTTGGAAAATACAGTATTTGATACATGCTTTGTTTTCACGACCATTAAACGAAATCTCATGGCACCTAATGATGATATATCAATAAAGTTGGTTTCGTGAAAACTGGGCCTCAACACAAAGCGAATGTACAATATTGTATAGTCTGCCTGATTGCAGGCATGTTTGAAAAGCCCAGCTCACATAAAGTGGATATTAAAAAAAGTCAACACACGCCCTTTTCAAATACTGTAGGTGTTTTATGTGATGTAAAAAATAGGTTTCATCGGATCTTGACACATTTATCATTTGCATTTTGGGAAATTTTAAGTGTGTTTTAGCAGAATTTTGAAACTAGGGTTGAACATTTTGGTCATAAACAATACATTTAATTGTTTCCCATTGCACGATGGTTGGTAATCACTGCTAATGACCAAACATTTATTTTGCCTTGAAATTTGTTGTTCTTTAGGAGGACATAACAGAAGAGGAGTCCAATGATGGCAGCCAGCCCCCTAAAAGACGACGAATGGGTTCAGGGGACAGTTCGCGAAGCTGTGACACTTCCAGTCAGGACCTTGGGTGTGTTTGCTTGTACATCTTACAAATTGTCTAGCCTAGCGTGTCTGAATATGGATAGGTTTTAAAAAATGCTGGTTCTCCCACTCACCTATTCCAGGTCAACGTATTTCCCAGCGGAGAACCTAACAGAGTACAAGTGGCCAGCAGATGATACAGGAGAGTATTACATGCTGCAAGAGCAGGTCAGCGAGTATCTGGGAGTCACATCGTTCAAGAGGAAATACCCTGGTATGAACTGGAATCGGTTTACGCTCTGGTAAAATGTTCGAGTGAATTATTTGATGGAAAACTCATTGAAATTAAAAGTAAAGATGACTGAAAGAAATGTATCTTTGTCATTTGTATTTCTGCTTTTCTCTAGATATGGAAAGGAGGGACCTGTCACATAAAGAGAAGCTCTATCTGCGTGAGCAGAATGTGATCACTGAGACACAGTGCACTTTGGGTAGGAAGTATCCCGTACTTATCCAGTTAGTTCAACATTTGGATTGTTGTCAGTGAATGACTTGGTGAGGTTGATATGGTCAAAGTGAATGTGGTCTGTTTTTTTCCAGGTCTAACAGCTCTCCGAAGTGACGAGGTGATAGACCTGATGATAAAAGAGTATCCTGCAAAACATTCAGAGTACTCGGTCATACTCCAGGAGCGTGAGCGACAGAGGATAGCTAAAGAGTACTCTGTAAGAACGTAAATTGAAATGAAAGTGTCATGTCTTGACACTTCTTGTTGCATGTTCATACACCTCACAGGTCATACTGTATGTCTGTGGTGTGCGTCTACTTTTGTGTTCCAGCAAATGCAGCAGCAGAACCCTCAGAAGGTAGAAGCCAGCAAGGTTCCTGAATACATCAAGAAGGCGGCCAAAAAGGCAGCTGAGTTCAACAGTAATTTCAACAGGGAGCGAATGGAAGAGAGGAGGGCTTATTTTGACCTCCAGACGCATGTAAGTCTACTTTGTCTAATTTAACATGAGCCCAATTCATGATGATGCACAATGGTCAGCTGCAACACTCATGAATATTGCTAATTGCTTAGCTATTTGCTGGCTTTTTGTACCTGTTAAGACTATTTTGTCATTTTTGTTAAAGCGTTGATATAGAAATATCATAGTAGTTGCTAAGCTTCTAAGGAACTGAGGAGCCACGGTACCTTGTGAAAACAGTTCCTGCTGTTATAGATCGCCAGTGCTTTCCATTTAATAATTTGCCAGTCCTCTGCGGCATTACTCATTTTTCACTGCCAAAAATGAAACTTATTTTCTCACATGCAAGAATTCACGGTCTCTATTATTTGGGTTTCTGCTTGTAATGCTTCCTTGATGAGTCTTGAATTTATTTTGTTTGATTTTGTTTGTCCCAGGTTATCCAAGTGCCACAGGGCAGGTTCAAGGTGCTCGCTCCAGAGCTGACCAGGACTGGGCCCTACCCAGTTGCTCTAATACCAGGGCAATTCCAAGACTACTACAAACGGTAGATTATGCCTTTAGTAACAAGAGTTCACCTCAACTAACTCCATGTATGTCAATATTAATTTTGCTGCAGCCTGTCCAACATTTAAAATTTCATGTCCGTGTTGATATACTATTTGGAGTTCAAGCACGATTTTCTCACGCCAAAGTCGCCACCTCAGGATAATCTTTCGAGACTCTGAAAAATTTTACATGATATATGGCTGGGCAAGAATTAATTCTGTTTATAACCCCCCCCAAAAAACAAACAAACAAACAAACAAACAACAAAATAATAATTAATCAAGGCGCCAGCAATTGCCCACGCCTGCTCTATGTATTGCGTCGCCCTGAAACACAACTGCATTGTGCCGAACAGGTACTCTCCCAATGAGCTGCGATACCTGCCTTTGAACACAGCTCTGTTTGAGCCTCCGCTGGATCCAGATCTGCCCGCACTGGACTCAGAACCTGATTCAGATGATGCAGAGGATGACAAAAAGAACAAAAACTCTTCTGTAAGCTGATGTGCATTACTTCCACGAACAACATGGCTATGAGCAGAGAGGGGCTAGTTTACTGTTTCTTGGTGTTACTCCTACTCTTATATAGGGGCGAGACAGCTATGCAATTTGACGGTTCATTTTATTATGTTAATGTTAATTTGTCATGGATTATGTTTATATACCGGTACATGTTTTGACTTAAGTTGAACCAAGAGGATGGACTTATTTTTATGTCATCTTTTCATAACTCGTTTGGTTTTGGGAGAACTATAGCAAATCCCAGAAGAGAAAAAAAGTGAAAGCCATACATGTTTTGAATAATGTCGCTGTCATGATTTTTCTAGAAGCGAAGAGGGAGAAATTTGATTGAAATGCATTAAAAATCAGATTTTTATTTTATTTTTTATTTTTTAGCCTAATAGCACATTTGCCTTAGTCAGTTTTTAATGATTTGGGAAAACATGGGGGTGGGGGGGGTCAACAAACAAGAGCTGTTCACCTACCTACTTCAGCCTTTGCATATTACCATGACCTGGATGACTGACAAACTAAACAGACATAGTAAGAACACAATTATTAGAACACACTTTGATTTTTTTTTTAATTATTGTGACGGTAAATTATGCAAGTAGGCTATGCCCAAAGTGTAACTGCTTTTCATTCAAGGTGAAAAAAAAGAGTGTCTTCCCCCCATACCTATGATTACGGTCTTTTAAAGGAATTGTAAAATCTTTTTTCCTTTTAATGTAGTCCTTGCACTGTTATACATTATTTTAGTAAGCTACTTATTTCTTTACTTTGCTTTTAAATGTCTTCAATTATTTTGTTTGTAAATGCTTTTAAATGCCATATTTGTTTAATTATGTGATTCACATTGAGTTACCTTGTGCCTGAAATCTGTTGTATAAAGAAAACTGCCTTGCCTTGCCGATTGATATTTAATTTTATTTTAATGCCATGCGGCCAGGCTCGAACTGCACCTGCATAACTTGGCGCTCCTCTCACATTACTCTGTGTATGTGCAGGACAGTTCTTCAGGCAACACATCAGACGGCGAAAGTCAGGAGGGCGGAGGCCACCAGTCCAAGGCCAAAGATAGGACATCCACGCCGGGCAAAGATGGCAGCCAACGCCACTCCCACAAAGTCACTCCCGGGTACAAGGTAGAGGACAAAACCACCTGAACTCTTCTCCAACAACAGCAGCAGCACTTTTCTACCCCTCCTCCTCCTTTTTCTACTACTACGACCACCTCCTTACTCCATCCATCCCGACATCCCTTCCCTTAGCTTTCTTCACTTTGTTCTCCAGCTTCTTCAGTTTGTCTCAGCTGGAACCAGCACACACATTTGCCCACACACTTCCGCTGAGGCTCCTGTCGTCACTTTTTAGGATTACTACATGGCTCTTTTTTTTCTCCCCCACCCAGACTGCGAGCAATAAGAAAGGAACAGTTCAGTTTGTTTGCGTTGCACTTTTTTCAGTTTTTCCAGTGTGGATGAAATATTTTTTCCTTTTTGAATGTCATCAGTTTCTCGCCTCACTTGTCTTTTAAAAAAAAAAAAAGTACTTGCAAGACAAGTAAAAACATCTTTTGGCTGCTACATTTTCATTTTTGAAAAGGAACATGGATAAAGATAACACATTCATTTTGTGGTTGCTTTTAAAAAGTAGTCAATATTAAAAGTAGAGAGTATTTTGACATGTATACCTGAAGTGTGTAACACACTCAAATGTTTACTGTGTGTGTTTTGGTGTTAAAGATATGCTATGTATAAACATGTGTAGTACTGTTGGTCTGTGGGTAAATATCAGAGAGCGCTGTATTACAACGCATGTGCATCAGTGAGGCGATGACATGCTGACCTTGTTCACACTGAGTTCAAATGCTCAAAAGCGAAACATCGACTTGTCTCTCCAAATCAGGGGCAGGGAGCCTAGCGTATGAAGCTCACTAGAGCATTTGATCTGGCTCGCCATGCATTTCTTTAAAAAAATAAAAATAATAATAGAATCTCCAGAAAAAGTAGCCAATAAATATCTAACCAACAAACACTGATCTACTGTATATAATTATAAATACTTATTTGACCATCACATTATATTTTCTCCTTTACATATTAATATGGCTTTCATAAAAGGATTTTATAAAAACAAAATGGCCCCTGGAAAAAAAGGTTCCCACCCCTGGTCTTTATTATCACATACAGTGGACTCCTACTATTTGCTGGGGTTATGCTATTAGCCCGCCATGAGCCAAAGTCAGTGTATAATTGATGGCCATTATAATTACATTGTAATTACATTGCGGGAATTTTTATTTTATTTATTTATTTATTTTTAAACCCCAAATTCACCCAAATTTGTTGAAGAAGCGGGAATATACCACTGATAACCATTTTCCAGGGGAAAAAAATAAAGGTGAATCCTTTGGGGCCGAACTATGAGAATGTAGAGTGGTCCACTGTATTAGATAATTACTTCAAGCAAAAAGCTCTCAATATATCTAATTAGTGAAAATGTTATATTTGCACCAAACACAAATATTTTTAGTTCAACATTCTTTAAATAACAAATTTAAAGAAACCATTTTGTGTCCAGTCTGGCTTTGCAGTGTGGACATGGTCCTGTTTTAGTGTGTGACAATTAGACATTACAGTATGAGCATGAGGTCATGTTTTTGCACATGTTTTACTTAGTTTATGTGACATGCAGCTAAAATATGTGTCCGTGCACTCTTTTTAAATAAGTGCAAAAGAACCTAGAGTTATGCGAAATATTTATTTTAAAAAAAGTCTTCAAAAAGTAATACTTTTGTAACTACAAATTAACGCGCACCTCCCTCTGAGTTGCGTATATATACACACATTTATGTAGTTATTATTCATTCAAAAATATTTCGTGTCCCCAGATTTTGTATATCACAGTGACTGTTGCAGGTTATATAAACACTACTTAGCTCTGGTCTGGCTCCAGTTGACAGTACAAGTATATGCAATGTTTTTTGACTCAGTGTTTTGCATAATGTGATATTTTCACAATGCGGCTTATGAATAAAAACAAGTTATGATACAAAGCTCATGTTAAATGGAATAATTGCCTGTACTTGCATTCCAGGTGAGATTCTTGTTTCTTTTGATTCCAGTGTTCTAAATCCTAAAATTAAAATGAATTATTCCAACAGGAATAATGGTTGGTAGGTAAATTAGCAGAATTCTTCTCAAGTTTCAGTCACATTAAAAGCTATATTAAGGTTAATGGTGATATATTCCTGTTTTAAGAAATATATTTAAAAACTGAGCTATAATAATGTCCAACATACTCTTCTATATTTATTGGGTATTTCTGAACACTTGGCATGACCCAACTGGGCTTTACTGTGTACAGAACATGACTGGAGAATGCTGTGCTGGTGTTTATAGCATTGTTCTGCCTTGCAGCCGAAGGTCATTCCCAATGCTATATGTGGCATTTGCCAGAAGGGTAAAGAGGCCAACAAGCGAGGCAAACCTGAGGCGCTCATTCACTGCTCCCAGTGTGATAACAGTGGTGAGTACACACACACATAAGCACACACACATTCATACTTAAACTCCTCCAGATTTGGGGTTGACAGTTGTTTGTAGGTGGGCAGACGACGAGTTGTGCAATTTTATTGTATTTGAGACATTTCTGTTGAACAGTTAACTGTAATTTAGCCAACATTCCCGTTAGGTAGTACAGGGTTTCTTCAACCTAGGGTCCTGAAATAATTGTCTGTTTTGTGTGTGTGTGTTTGGGGGGGCGGGGGGGTTCTTTTTTGTTGTTTTTGTGAATGAATGTCTTCTAGCTTCTTTATTATTAGTTTACGTGCAGTACTTTTTGATATGATGGCAGTGCATGATGTTTTCCCATGGAGGGACCAGATTTCGGTTTGTATTTTAAATTAAAAGTGTTTCGTGGAAACGCTGAGGCAGAGCAGATTCAAGTTGAGGATCATCTTTCAAGAAAATGGATGGAGTTTACAGTGGATATTAAAAGTCTACACAATCTTGTTACAATGCAAAAGAAAAAAAATCCATGCAAACTTTTCTTGTTAAACTCTTTGAGAAATGTGCAAGGTTCAGGTGCATTTAATTTTCATCAATATTTATAGCAGCCACGTTTTGTGGTGGGCGGTGTGACTGTCGAACTGGGGCAATCCTTCTGTGATTATTACATATTTCTTTTTCAACGTTCCTAACGAAGTGTTAAAGTCAGTATTTCTCAGCCTTTATTGAGCCAATTTACTCACAATTTTACTGGCTGTGAAATTTGGACCTGTTCAATTATTCTATTTCAAGAATGGCAACAGGTAGAAACACCGATACCTTCTGCCATCTCGTGGAAGAGCATTTCATTCATTGTTCTTCCTGACACTCTACAGTGCCGGTATAGACAGACAGACAAAGATGTATTAGTTGTCGTATTGAATTATTATTTTTGTAGTTGATAATCTATGAAAATGAAGATGTCCCAATTATGAGACCTCCAACCAGTCAAGTCCTTGTAGTGTTCACTTTGGGAGTGTGTTTGGTTTATTTTGGTCTGTAGTCTCTTGCAGGTGTGTGTCTCATCACTGTCTTGTTGTGTCACTAAACGCAGGCCACCCGTCCTGCTTGGACATGAGCGCAGAGCTGGTGCGCATGATCCAGACATACCGCTGGCAGTGCATGGAGTGCAAGACATGCACCGTGTGCCAGCAGCCCCACCATGAGGACGAGATGATGTTCTGCGACAAGTGTGACCGAGGCTTCCACACCTTCTGCGTCGGGATGGGCTCCATCCCCACAGGTTCATTGTCTCTTAGCTTGCTCTTATTAGCCACTTTATAGCTTTGAGTAACCGTTTGTTTAACTTGATGTTTCAGGTCTTTGGCTCTGTGAGGTATGCGACAAAGATTTCAACACACCCAAGAAGAGAAGCGGAACGAAAACACTGAAAAAGGCCAAGTCTGCGCAGAAATGATTTAATTTAACGGCATCTGATTTTATTAGATTCTAGATGGGGTTTTATCGACTATTTTGAAAGCGTACTATGTCTTAAGAGAACTATAGGCACAACAACAGTTGGATCAACAACTGGACTTGTCCCTTTCCTATAAAGCTCTACCAGAGTTTACATTTTCAAATGATCCCTTCTACAACATTTGTGGGAAATCACAATGTCCCATACGGGTGAGCTTTGCATAGAACAGGCCCACAGGCTACCTGGTGCTCGTGGACACCAATGATGTTGAATTTCAAGTGCTGTTTTAGGAGATTCATCTGTAATTTTGATTTTTGCACGCCATCTAAATACAAAGACATGATGTTAAGACGACCTCACAAAATTAATGTTTGGGTCTTACTGTATACTACTAACCAAGATGGGGGAGTGTATTTCCAGGCATTTGGGTTAGTACAGTATCCCTTAATGGAAGTGATACTGTCGGTCTCGTTTAATCGTTCATTTAAAATATTTCTAATTGGATGGGAGAATCTGAATGTTTTAGTGTCTTACTGAGCAGTATAATGTTGGCGGCAGTTGTTCTTCAAGTCACCAACGAGTTGAACTTGAAACTGCTGGTTGCAACCTAGTAGTGCACTTGTCTTGCCTGAATTGCGTCAAGATGACTCAACACTTCCAGTTGATTATCATGCCTATCACAAGTATCCATGCCTGGTTTAAGAAAAAAAGGAAAAGCTAACTTCCTTAGCAAGATAAAAATAACTAGAAAATAAGATCATACGATAGTTTTAATATTTTGGGGTACCTATAACTTACATTTTCTGTTTTCGTCATCAATTATGTATGACATTGCTGGACTAGTTTTTTTTTCAATGTTACACAGCTTATCAACTCCATTTGACTTTTGATGTCAGTGTCACTCTTTAACAGTTTATCTTTCTGTACCAAAACGGGTACGTGACAAGCAATGAAGCTGTTTTGGCTGAACAATCTGTGCTTTTATTGATCTACTAGTTAAAAATGAAAGGTCAGTTACATGAATTTCATGTTTTATTTTAATGCACATTTTTATTCCAACATGTCTTGAATTCTATCATGGTGCTCAAGATCTTTTGAAATGTAGTGTTTGTAGTTTTTTTGTCCTGTTTACTTACCGCATAAGGGTTAAAACGTGTGTCTTAGGTACAGATTTTCACGATACCTACCTTATAATGATGCCTCTGACTGCAGCAAGCCTGTCACAAAGCTCCAATAAACCATATGTTTGGATTTGACTTGAAAATTAAATTGTATTTTTCTACTTTTCTAGAAAATGTACTGTAGTGGTAGCAGATGATTTGTTCATGTCATAGTCACTGAAGTACTTTATAAAAAATAAACGTGTATATAATGAATACCTCAGCATGTCATTCATCTCTTTTTTTTTTTTTAATAGATTGAGATGTGTAAAAGTTGCAAGTATCCACAGTTTGGGATTGGTCAGGAAGATGCCGAGTAGTAAAAGTAAATGTTCCTGCACACTGGTTCAGTCCTTCTAGCTATTATCTATAGCAGTGATTTCAACAACAAATAATGTGTCGTTGTCTAGCTATGCCAGTAACTTATCGTGAAAGAAAGAACAAATGAATGATCGTCTATCAGATTGCAGAAAGTATTGAATTGACATGTATCCTCTTTTTGTGACAATTTTTTTGGGTGTGTACCGTGCGATTTTTCAAACTTAAAAAATGTGCCCCCTTGGCTTGATAAAAATTGGGAATCACTGGTCTATAGCACTTGTATTCATTCGTGTCGTCGCTGAGCTGGAGCCTATCCCAGCTACCGGTAACTGAGCGAGAGAAAGGAGAGCTCCCTTGACTGGGATGGGGAATTTAGTCATTACATCCGTGTTTTTAGAATGTTGAAGGAAATTGCCTGGAGGAAACCCAAAAGCAAATAAAAAGACTGTTGTGTTTAGTAAAAGTAGATGGGGATACTGTATTTCTAATGTGGTAAGGACGGTACACCAAACCTGTATGGTGTAACTAATGCATTTAATGACCAAAATGTATTGTTCAGTGTGTTAAGGAAAGTCTTGGTTGTTGTATATGCATGTAGTCTGTCATTCCCAGTGTTATTCACATTTTGAATGTGGAATCCTAACCTTCATGTCCTTCTCTTAAATGTCCACCCAGCTAGGCAAACTATGATTAAAGTAAACAACATTTAAAAATCACTTGTTTATATATACACGAATGTATACATATTTTTGTGGACAGATACCTAAAATTTGCTGATTCACAGAACGATGTCGAAAACGTCTTAAAATAACTGGAAAAACTACAGTATGTCATGTCCATGCCATCGTGCAGTCAAAGAGGGCGCCCGCGTACTTCAACCAACTTGAATGAATCCCTCGAAGAAGGAGCTGCCATATTGCCGTGATACAGCGACTTTAGTCGGTTGCCGATAAAAGGATTGTTTTGGTTTTCTCTAAAAAAATGCTCTCAGTTCAAGATTTTAGAGATCTAGGCAAGATGAAGGACTATCATTACACAGGTCCAGTGGAGCACCGTTTCTCACCGTATACGTTCAACGGCGGGTAAGTTTACTTTTCACCTCCTTGCTAGTTAGCCTACCAGCTAGCGTTTTCCGACCCAAGTGAATGGCTAGTTAATGTTTTGTCTTGACGACTGATTATTATTGAGATACACGAATGTGACGACAATATTTTTATGCTAAGGACATCACTCTGGCAGAACGTGGTTTTGATTGGGCAAATCTTTGTACAATGATTTCACTTTCGAATAACGCTGTTGCTGTTAGCATTACGATGCACATACTTCGTTGGGCATGAAAACAGTTGCCAAAAAATGGATGACTACATGACGATCTGTAATACATATTGACAGGACTGTACTAGCGCTGGCTGGGGAAGACTTTGCCGTCGTAGCTTCAGACACCAGGCTGAGTGAGGGCTACGCTATCCACAGCAGAGAGTCTCCAAAATGCTACAAATTGTAAGTTTCACTTTCCCTATGCTGTTGATAATGGATCACAAAAAAATCTATTTTATATCTGTTTTAACCATGCAAACATTTAGAATTTTTATTATACTCCTGTGCTTCCAGGACAGACACAACTGTAATTGGCTGCAGTGGTTTCCATGGTGACTGTCTGACACTGACGAAAATCATTGATGCCAGACTCAAGGTGGGTAACTTGAATGGGTATCATGTATTTTGGCTGCATATTGGATATTCTTTAGAAAGTGCACTTTTAGTTGAACTGTGTGCAAGTAATGAACCTTTCTTTTCTCTCAGATGTACAAACACTCAAACAATAAGACCATGACATGTGGCGCCATCGCTGCCATGTTGTCCACCATCTTGTATGGCAGGAGATTCTTCCCCTACTATGTTTATAATATCATTGGAGGTCTTGATGACGAGGGTAAGTGGGGGACTAACACTTAGGACACCTTTGTAAATACAGCTGCTTTACAGCTTCTCAAATGGAAAGTGCAAAATCTTAAGCGTGTTTCTGATCCATCGGTGATAACAATTGTTCTGTGTAACTTAGGCAAGGGTGCCGTCTACAGCTTTGACCCAGTAGGATCCTACCAGAGGGACAGCTACATGGCTGGAGGATCAGCTAGTGCCATGCTGCAACCATTACTAGACAACCAGGTACACACCATGATCTTACTGCCAAATAGGGCTCAAAGGATTAATCCGATAACTCAAAGAATTTGATGATAGAAATGTTGCCACTCACTAATGGTTACCCAGTTGACAGCCAGCCACTAACCTGAGCTCACAATAGCCAACTGTACACTCTCATTCACTGACTCCCATGTCACTCGCCAGCCCAGGCCCCACCTTTTAAAAGTCACACGTGCACACCAAGTCATACTATAGTGTTTAACTTGGACCACAATATTATCCTCACATGCTTGTTTTGTTTAGTAATATAAACTCAATTTTTATTATATTAGTCCTAACCCACACCACTTCTTCCCAGATTGGTTTCAAGAACATGGAAGGTGTAACACAAATTCCTCTGAGCCGCGAGAAGTCAGTTCAGCTGATCAAAGATGTTTTCATCTCGGCCGCAGAAAGAGATGTTTACACCGGGGATGCCCTTCAGATCTGTATCATCACTAAGGAGGGAATCACAGAGGAGACAATCACGCTGAGGAAGGACTGAAGACATTATTTGTTCCGTCTTGTCTATTTCTTCCACGAGCGCTTCTTTTCACATTCAACCTGCTCATTTGGTTGCTTGACTGCAGATCGTGACAAACAGGAGTGTTGACCCAAATGTTAACTAACATTTTTTTTTAAACCACCAAACCATATTCCAATTTTGATACCTGTAATCAATATTTTTTTTTCGAGTTAATTTGTCCCTTCATTTTTCCTGTTATCAGAACCAGGATCCCTCATCAGCACTCCTGTAATTATAAAAGTTCCCATTCTGAAAAGCAACTCTGTTATACTTTTTACATTCTTAATAAATGTAAAGAATTGGGGAAAATCTTTTCTTGTTCTGTTTCGCAATTAGCTGTAACTTGACTCTCATTTAAGAAAAACAAGTAAATAGCTAATTCCCAGAGTTCAGCTGAATTTAACCAAGCTAATTCCCATTAAAATTAGATGTTAAGATTGCATATTTTCAGACAATTTAAGATATTAGTCACTTTGTTTCACTAAAGATGTCGTTTGCTTAAAAAAACAAAACACTAATTTATGCTAAGCTTTTGTCCATGTTAAAAAAAAAAAAGTTTGACCAAGTTTGGCTTCAACCTAGCATGTCAGCAAAATATTATACTTGTTAGCGCAACTCAAGGGAAGTCAGTCTGGCAATGTGATTTGTGTGGTGTGATAGTTCTTAAAAATGCACACTGACATAATACAAGTCATCAAGTGAGACTAGTGGTTCTCTTTACCAATGTTTCCCAAACTTTATTGGGCCAAGGCACATATTTTACATTTTTGAAAAATTTCACAGAACACCACTAAACAACATGAATTATATACAGTACACTGAAAAATATGCTTTCATCTCAGTTTCCCAAGTTTTTGGGTGGAGTGGAAGAGTATTTCATTGTTCTGCCATGTCACTACATGTCACTGGCATAGATAGATGAACAAAGACACATTAAACCACACCAATTAAGAGAAACTGCATCATTTTCTCCAGAACACCTGAGGGTCTCTCATGGCACCTCTCATCTACAGTGGTTGGGAATCACTGCTCTACAAACTTTGTTTCCTTGATGTGCTCCGTGAGTGAAAGCATACCCTTTGTGTCTCTTCTTGGACAAAATGTGTAACCACAAACTCATTTGGTATTCGCCCAAGAACTGTGGCAGCACCTCTCATCACCTGAACCGTGCCATCTGAGGGAATCACCAACCCACCATTATTTTTCTAGGGTCCAACGATGGTAGCTCTTACTGATCGGGCCTTTTATAGGCTCAGACACAAGGCTCACACAGTGACTTGTGCAGTACAGCCATAAGAGTGGTCCTTGCCCTTCGTTCTCGCACCAGCGCATTTCTCTTCTGCTTCTCCAGGCTCCACAATCTGGCTGCAGCCGCATTGAACTTGGCCTTGAGAGCAGCAGGAGAGTTGGGCAACGAATAGTTGTGATCCTGGTATTGGATGGATGGATAGATAGATAAAAAAAAATAAGTGGTTGGCCAGCAATTTTATGTCATTTAAAAAAATCATGCAGTTAGCGCAATTCATTATTGAGACCCAGCCCATAATCCTCTCACCTTTTTGAGACAGAACAAGTACAAGTACTCACGAGGGTAATATTGAACCGAGGTTTCTTTTTGGTGACTTTCTGAGGGATGGGTAATGGTAGGCTCTCCTTAGCTTTGATTGAGGTTTTTGTAGTTCTTATCGTACTTGTCCTTTTTTCTTCATGCTTAAGAAAAGAAGAAATACAGATTTAGATTGATCTTTATTAATCCCCTATTATTATTTTCCAGCCTTGCAACAAAAGAACAACAAAATTCTGTGTTTTATAATATGGAAAATAGCATTCTATAATATTGTATTTTATAGAAACAAACAAAAAAATGTAAAGAATTAAACATTTTTGCAATTTAATGTTGTAATTACATTCGTTGTGCTGCTCCTGGTGTGTCCACGATGGCCACCAGTAGAACAGTAAAATACAGTTATATGGGGGGGATGAGTGCATTTGATCGCAGTGGTCATCTTTACAGTAACAGAAATACAGTAGTGTAAATATTCATGAAAAGAATGAAACGCAATAAAAACGGAGTCGCTAAATGCTTGTAAACCTACCGGTATTTGTTGAGGACGATCTGGGAAGTTAAACAATGATGGAATGACACCAGCTCTAATCCGACAAATCTGCCCAGTCTTGTCAAAATCACGACTTCTAAAATGTTGACTGCAGAGCACAGATTCATCACTCGCAGTAAAATCCCTCCTCCTCATAGCTTTTTCCCACAGTCGCCTCATCTCATCGCCTCTGGGAAACCTATACGGAGTAAGAAAAGTAGACATAGCAGTAAATAAGTCAGTAAACAACAACATATTTAAAAAGATGTCTTGATACATAAAAGACAAAGAACCTACTGAGCTAATATACTGGAAACCAAAGGCATTTTAGTCTGCTTGATATTTCTTTCTACAAAAGCTTGTTTTCTCTGCTGTTTTATTAAAATCATTTTATACATCTCTTGAAATTATAACGCACTACAGTCCTACATGGGTTGTCAGAGGCTATTTTAAAACAAAATATGTACTTTATGGTTTTTAACGTCAATAAAAGTGGGTCGCGCCTGTGCAACAATAGGAAACTGGGAATTGCAGGGTGACAATTGAGAAGCGCTTGGACTAAAGAATGGAAAACACTAGAAACCTTTTTTTTTGCTGCTGTTTTGCTGTCATCAGCAAGACCAGCATGAAAACACAACAAAACCATGCTGGTCAATGTTTTTGTTGTTGTTGTTAAAGCAGGGCTCGAAAATGGCTGGCAACGTGAGAAATTCAACTTCGAAAACGGCTGGCAGCGAATGGGTTAATCATGTGGCATGTTGGCAGTCAAGCTCCTAGCTTGTATGTTTTGCTAGAAGCCTATCAGACTCCCTCCACTCGAAAACCAAAAGTCAGGCTAGCTGCCAAAATTATTCATATTTCTGTATTACGGCAACACGCCGCCATTGCGCAGTGAGGGCCAATTTCAAAATAAAGGTCAAACAAATAAATCCACGGACACTAACGCTTCGGACATAGCACAATTAAGTAAAATTATTTCTACCTTATCAGGCATGATAGATTCGAAGCTCTCAACAAGATTTACTAATGAAACCAGAGTCCCAAATTGTTCTTACTTATGAAAGGTTATTCCCTGTTTCCTTGATTCGGCAGTTCGGCGTTGTGTGCACCCGATTGCAGCACAATGTGCAGGCATCCTTGTTTTTGTTGTTCCGTGTCGTCTCCAAACACCCTGTAGTTTTGCCCCTACTAGCTTAGCGTGAGAGTAAGCACGAAGCTCAAAGGAAAAATAATGTGCGCGTCAGAACTCTGGGCAAATGGTCGAATACGTCCGTCTAGCCTTTGCGACAGTGTCGTAAAGCAAAAAAAATCGAGGTGTTTGTGGTTGGTTGGAAATTTGACCCAGCGTCCTCTAGGCTCTACTCTCTTCGCAGCTCAGTGCCCTTCATCGGAGATTTTATCATACATCTCGGTCATCATCAGCCGGAGCCAAGCGTAAAATCATGGCTGGGACGATTGCACGCAAAGCAATAGACCACCTGAAGAGCAAAGAATTCAGAGACTATTTGATGAGGTGTGTACCAAATACTGATATGAGCAGATGTGCTAATCTAGCCACCTAGCTATATGTGTATGTTGTTCACAAGTGACAGCCAGCCAGTAATGTTAGCTAATTTTGAACTGACAGTTGTCTTTGATCCGAAAATTATTGTTTGGGAATTACTTGCATGCTATTTTTCATTTAACTCCTTGGGACCAACACGTGAAGGGGGTTCGCGGGATCACCTTGTTTATCCGGTTTAACATTATAGGACAGCACAATCTGGAACAACTTGTATCTCAATACAGTATTCACTTAAAAGGCTAAATAAATATTATAACTATGTATTTGTTGAAAGTTTGCATCTCTCCAAGACGGGTTTTCTTGAATGGTACATGTGCTTCAAATTTTAACTATAGTTTTGAATTGTAAGCACCAGATCATATTCATACAATATGACTAGCAAACTGTGCTTCATCTCTTGGGTTAATCCTAAACGCCAGAGATGTCCCATTGTTCTAATAGTTTAATCAACACATTTTGGACAAAAACAGTGTTTGTGTTTTATGGGAGCTGGAAGGGATTAATAGTATTTTAATTCATTTCAATTGGGAAATATTTTTTAAGAGGCAAGTGTTTCCAGTTATGAGCATGGTTACAGAACAAGTAAACTCACAAGTGAATGTGCCACTGTAGTTGCAGCCTTATGTTTATTCCTGCACAAAGATTCAAACTGTGAACCCCCCCACCCACACACACACACACACACACACACACACACACACACACACACACACACACACACACACACACACACACACACACCCACCC